GCCTCCTTGAGGCTGTTGATTTCCTGCTCCTGACCGTCGAGCTTCGAGGAGATGCGCTCGAATGCCAAGCGCGCAACCTCTTGGTCCATCAGTTGCTGCCAGTCCTCATCGCTGCATTGCGCAGCGGCCTGCACGTTGTCCAGCATCCTTCTTGTGCGTTTGCTTCTTCCCGTGCAATGCGCGGGAGGAGCTGTTCGTGTGCGTGTGCGCGTGTGCGCGTGTGCCTCTCTCTGTGTACTTGTCTGGATATGCGGTTGTGTATGAATGCTTCTGAGCTGCTTCCGAGCCGCAGCTGCTTAGCTGTCACTGCTCGGTGTCGCGGAGAACAGCGTCAGCGAGCGAGCGGGCAAGCGACAGACCAAGTCGTGATGATGCGAGGTCAAACCAAAAAGCACTGGCCACCAATCGTTCACACCACCAGCACTTTTGGTTGAGGAAAAAACGGTGTGCGCAGTGTGCGGGGGATGAAGAATTCTGACGGTATTTTCCGTGATATTTCTTCATCCTCTGCCATTCCAACAAGAAGGCAATCAGAACATCATCACACAGCCACGATGGACGTGCAGGTGGCGGCATCAAACACTCGACAGCTTCAGGCTTGGTGCGCACGTGTTCTGTCGAGTGTTGATCACAAGCAGTCTGTGTGTCGTTGTGCGTGTGCGTGTGGGTGTGCGTGTGCGTGTGCGTGTGGGTGTGCGTGTGCGTGAGAAAGTGTGCGTGTGCGTGTGCGTGTGCGTGTGCGTGTGCGTGTGCATGTGCATGTGCGTATGCGTGAGAAAGTGTCTGTGAAGATCCGATGTTGTGTGCGTTTGAGCTGCTTCCTTGTGGTGTCACACTTGTGTGTTGTTTTGTCCTCACGGTTTCACTTGTGTTTATTCGGTGACGCCTGCTGTGCTTTCAGTCGCACATTGTCGGCAATCTTGTTTGGGGTCACAGCAGGTATTCTGGCATTAACAGCATGGCAAGGGTTTGCCTTTTATCTCGTCTCGTCCGCATTTCTTTCCGTGAGTATTTGGGTGTGCATGTGTGGGCATGTGATTGTGTGTGGAGTTGTGTGGATGTGTTCTTGTGTGTTTTGTTTGTACGGTGTTGCCATCGCATGTGTGAGTGCATTCCTGTACTTTTGCTCCATGCGCCATGCGCACATGCGCTGGGCTGGTTTTGTTCGCGACTCACGTGGAACGCACCAACTGGCCCGTGTCGACAGGTGTACTTGAATGTGCTGTTTGGGTCCAAGGCGGGGGATTGGTTTGAGTCTCCGAAAGCGCTGTGGTTTAGCGGAGTGCCAGGGAACGCATTTACCTTTGTGCTCTTCTGGACACTCGCCTATGGCCTCGTCCACGTGTATTGAGAGGAAAGAAGAAGAAGAAGAACAACAACAACAACAACAACAACACCACCACCACCACCACCACCAACAACAACAACAACAACAACAACAACAACAACAACAACAACAACAACAACAACAACAACAACAACAACAACCTGCGCCGATTGCCCCATCTTCCTCGTCTTGTTTGTTACGTGCACAAGACGCAAGTTTGTCCTCTTCGAGTATCGCCACTCTTCCTCCTTTGTCCTGCGCCGTGCCGGATTCACACACACACACACACACTGTGTCTGGTGTGGTGTTTGGTTTGTACAGATGATAAAGTGACCGCGCTTATTGTTTGCACACTTCCACTGCTTCTCTGACTGTTTAGTTCGTACATGAGCGAGTTGTGATAATGGTTCACATCAGCTCTCTATAAACACGACCACTGGCTAAGCCAGAGGAAGAGGAATAGGAAGCACCAGAGGGGGGGGGACGCAAACAAGCAAGTGCAGAAGAGACAGTTTACGTTATGAACAAGTGTATGCAACCTAAAGCCGTCAACACACGTCAAGAGCCTGAAGATATGGTGTCTGTGTGAGTCAAGTGTCCAATACCGAATAGGAAGGGAAGGCGAGCTGTGGGTGCTGGGCTGGCGAAAGGGGGGAGGGAAGGGAAATGGTGAATGTGTACACCAAACACGCGTGAATAGCCTCACGCGCTGCTTTCCACGACGTTGAAGAAGTGGAACACTTCGTCCTTGTCAAGCATGGCCACCTGAAGCACGACGCATTGTCAGGTGAGAAGCAGCAGATATGTGTGTATATGTATGTGTGGGTATGTGTGTATGTGTATGTGTGTGTGTGTGTGTGTGTGTGTGTGTGTGTGTGTGTGTGTGTGTGTGTGTGTGTGTGTGTGTGTGTGGGTATGTGTGTATGTGTATGTGTGTGTGAGGCATGATAGTGTGGGGGATTGGTCTGTGCGGTGGTGCATCTCCATCGCTCCCCCCCCCCCCAAACAACCGCACGCAGTCAGTCACATGTACAAGTACCACGGTGTTGCAGGTAGCGCAGTGTGTTGGATGGAAGAGGTCCTCGGTTGTCGGCTCCTTGCCCCGCGCGCTGTGCTGCTTGCGCTTCTTCTTGGCCTCCATTTTTTCCCGAAACACAACCTCCTGCACGCAGCAAACATGTTGGTGTGAGGAGGTGAAGCAGGGAGTGGAGAAAGGGAGGCGAGACAAGAGTGAAGGAGGAAGTGGAGAAAGGGAGGCAAGAAGGGAGAAGATAAGAGAGGCGAGAAGGGACAAGGGGAGAAACAGACAAGGGACAAGGGGTGGCAAGGAGCAGCTCGTAAAGCCAACATGCACACACTTGCACACACACACACTTGCGCACACACACACACACACACACAAGTGCACACACACACACACACACACTTGCGCGCACAAGCACATACAAGCAGACCAACCTGAGAATAGTCAACACGGCAGTTCATGACAAACATGGCCCGAAACTGGGTCGGGTAGAGCTCGTGGCGTTGGCAGTCAAGACACAAGGGAGTCAGGCACGCGGGGCAGTTGAGAACAGCATCGCTCTCAGGGGCAGCAGTCAGGCCACCTTGTACATTCTTCGCATGCGCAACCTGGCCCTGCGTGGTCCTGGCGCGCATCTCCTTCACCCACAACTCGTTCTCATCGTCGATGTTGGGATCATAGAACAGCTCGTCATCCGTTGGCTGTGCTGCACGCAGCGCCGCCTCATCGTACCCGCGCTCGTCCTCGTCATCGCTGTCTGACAAGGCTGCACCCTGCCGTGCCTGTGCCCTCCCTGCCACGCCTGAAGGCTGGCGGCCATCCCGCGCTGTTGCTGCTTCTCCTGCACCCTGCCCTCTCGCTCCTTGTTGCTGCCTTTGTTGCCTTTGCTGCTGTTGCTGCCGCTGTCGTTGCTGTTGCTGTTGCGCGGACGACCGCAGCTGCTGATACTCCATGTCACCCAAAGGCGCAGACAGCACGCCATCCTTGCCTCCAAATGCGGCACGCCGACCGCCGCCTCCTTCCCTCGCTACACTGCCATCAGTCTGCGTCGCGCGGCTTCCTATGCTGCGATCCTCGCCACCCCCGCGACCATCATCACCATCACCATCATGGTCGTCGTCGTCCGCGTCCCAGTCCAAGCCTGCCTCCTGCACATAGTCGCCCAGCCCAAGCTCCGCGCCACCATACACGTCCTCGTTGTCGCTGTCAAAATCCATCTTTCCGCCTGTCGCCTGTCGTCGAAAATGATGATGAAGCAAGAAGCAAGCAACAAGCAAGCAAGGAAGCAAGCAACAAGAAGGCAGAAGCAACGAAGCAAAACACTGCTGCCTGCACGCAATCAAAACACGCAGTTGTTGAGTTGTTGAGGCTGCACAGCGCGCCCACCCCACGCAAGAAAACACGGCTTCGGGCATCGCAACGGAGAAGGCGCTTGGGTTGACTGCGCCTGTACGCCTGTGGGAGATGCGTGTGGCCGCCATTCTTCTTTCATGATGACATTCCGTTGCTGCTGAAGTAAGAAGACCCACAACCAGGCACCACAAACCACACTGCTCGCAGTTCTGTTGTTGGCCGGCCAGCCAGGTTGCTTCATTTCTTCCCTCGACATCCCTCTTCCGAGTGCCATCGATTCGACCCTTCTACCCCCGAGTGACCCTCCGCGCCTCTTCCTCTCAACATGAGTGTGCGAAAACCAGATGCGTGCTCCATGGCCAAGCCGCGACCAGAGCTGGAACACCTCGATCTCGCGCACGTTGCCGTGCTCATCGATGACTGCAGCTTCACCGTACGTCTCTGTGTGTGTGTGTGTGTGTGTGTGTGTGTGTGTGTGTGTGTGTGTGTGTGTGTGTGTGTGTGTGTGTGTGGTGTGTGTGTGTGTGTGTGGTGTGTGAGTGAATGCTGTTGAACGGGAAGTGATGTCTGCAGTGCGCAAGCATGCTTGCCCCTCCCCTTGCAGCACCTGATCACACTGTTACTCACCACCACCTCCATCAACTAAATCCACACTGCACCAGGTTGCGTATGGTCGCGTGCTCATCTTCAATCGGGGCTCACGCGAATGGGTGCCCGTGTTCTTCTCCATCTCGGTCAGTTCCGTCACATCACCACCACCTCCATCACAATGCAACTGTGCTCCACGCATGCGTGGCCTCGTTGCGAGTTTGCCTGCGTGCACGCATGCAAACGCCACGTCAAAACCAGCTGTGCGAGCTGACCGAAGCCTCCCTCCCTGTGCTCTGTAGGTGGATGGCAGTGGATGTTACTTCAACGTCTTTCAGCAAGCGCCAAGTGGAAGCCCACACGTCTGGCTCAACACAGAACCTTCCGTACGTGCTTGCGCCACCCCCAAGGGTGCATGAGGATTCCCACGTGGCCCCTCCCCCCCTAGTGCTTTGTTTCGCTTCTCAGCGTGTCTGCCCCACCCCCTCACATCTTGTTCTTGTCCCCCCGGCCCACATCCACTCTGCGCGCTGCCTTGCACTCCACTTGCGCTCCTCACCACCCACAAACCTTCTTCCATCTCTTCGGGTTTGGTTTGCCTCCTGCTCCGCGACTTCATCAGAGGAGGTTCAAATTTGTTGATGTCATCGGGGGCACCAGTCCAGACTGCCCGGCCATGCCCGCAACGGCGTGCCGCTGCTCTTCTTGCTGCGTCCCAAAGTTTCCGGCATCTTGGATGGTTGGCAAGACCGAACAATCCGACTTGGTATGCGCGCCAACGAGGCCCTGGCATTGCCCACCTGCACAAGCATGCTTGCCTGTCTGTCCTCGGTTTGCTCTTCCTTGCTCGTAGGGCCAATTCAGACAGTTGAATCACCGTTGTGGAAGTAGCGACCACTATGTGCCGCGGACCCACATGCATGCAAGCCGTGCAAACGCAATGCAGCCAAGCCAACACATGCCGTGTTCTGGCTGCTGCTCACGCTGTTCACCTGCCTTCTCAACACCGACAGGACATGCGCCGCTGCTGCCTCATCGAGGACGGGTCCGATGGCGTGCGCCACATTGTGTGTCGGACACAGGAGGAAGCCCTCATGATCACACTGGTCGGGGAGAAGGTGCACACGCTTCGGCACCCCGACGTCCATCAGGGCAGCCAGCTCGTGGTGCGTAGCATGTGCACGCGTGCAGACATGGCATTCATGCGAATACTTGTCAACATGCCCCACCCATGAATCTTGGTCCTCCTCCTGTACATGCTGCTGTGACTGCGCCTCCAATGTGCATCATCACATCACATCACGGGCTTCCGCGCCCCTCATTTCGTTTGCGCGTGGCCGTCTCTTGACTCACAAGCCCATACCACACACACACACACACATACGCACACACAACACGCACACACACACACATACGCACGCACACACATTCACACATTCACACAACACACACACACACGCACACACACAACACATATACACTCACTCATTCTGATGCACTGACTGCGACAGTCGAGCATGCTGGACGTTGTGCACCATTTGACAGACAAGGTGATTCCCGCCAAGACTGGTTTCTCGTACCACGCACTGGACGACACGGAGCTCAACTTCGTGGAGCCCACAGGCATGATGTACAACGATCACCGCGTGTACGCTGTGCGCGGCCGGTGGGCGACGTACTTCTACTTTGACAACGCCAGCCAGTGGGTCATGGGCACTGGCAGCGAGCTCTCTGCGTGCTGCAGTGCTCTGTGCCAAGGTACGCTTTGCGGCGCCATGTGCAACCCGTTTTGCCAGCCGTGCACGCGTCCTTGCTGCAAGTCAACCTGCCAGTCGTGCTGCGCGCCGGTGTTTGAGCCCCACAAAATGTTCAGGCCCGACATGATCATCGACCAGGACTGCGACCACCCAACAGCCTTCAGCACCGTGGCCTGGGATCCAAACGTCATTCAGGAGGAGGACCCGCCCAACTTGCACGCGCTCGTGACGGAACAGCCATGCACCATCTCCATCACCGCCACGACACGCAGCTTCCAAGCACACCCTGAAGAGCACATTCCAAACCAGCTTCATCTCGTGCCCACAACCCTCCTCACCGACCCGGAGTCCACCTGCTGTGGTGGCAACTGCAACGACTGCAGCAAATGCATGAGGAGTGTGGGTGCTGGCCTTGCCACTTGCCTGGGCGGTTTGCTGTTTGCGCCCTGCATCATTGCCGGCGGCTTGCTCAAGGCGTGCTGCACCTCATCGCCCTCCAAAGCTGCGCCACCACCTCCGCTTCGCCCCAAGCCCGCACCCGCGATTGGCCCAGGCTACTACGACTTTGTACTCCACGGTGCGTGCGTGCGTGTGTGTGCGTGTGTGTGCGTGTGTGTGCGTGTGCGTGCGTGTGCGTGTGTGTGTGCGTGTGTGTGTGTGTGTGCGCGCGCGCGCGCGTGTGTGTGTGTGTGTGTGTGTGTGTGTGTGTGTGTGTGTGTGTGTGTGTGAGCGACGCTGCCGGCATAATGCGTTGATATCTTTGTCGTCTTTGGTTCTGTGTGCGTTGACTCTTGGCCCACCCGTCTTCTCTGCCCACGTTGCTCGCATGCTCGCTCACTCACTCACATGCTCACTAACCCCCCTCTCACTCACACGCACACGCACACACTCTCTGTATCCACTCGTTTTGTTCTTGTGTTGCAGACAATGTGACCGTGAAGCTGACGGAGATTCTGTTGCGCACTGCCCACTTCAGTCAAGACCCTGTTGTTGCCTCCTTCCTCTGCGCCACGCCATCACCCGAGCAGCCATCGCCGCTCCTCTCCCTCGTGCGCAAGCTCTCCTGGCGCCTTCCCCCGCTTGTTGAGCCGTTTGTTGCCGAGATCTGCGCCGTTGTTCGGTCTGTTGCCGCGCACATCAGCATTGCAGATGACCTGCAGCGCCGGCGCACGATGCAGACATCGCCGCTGGAGAAGCACGAGCTCGTTAGGGAGACACTGGAGAGGCACCGCGGCCACACGGACGCAGAGGTGGTAGAGGCTGTGCTGATGATCCGTGAACACATGCAGGAGGACGTTTTGCCTGCGCTCATCGACCTGCTGCACGGCGTTGTTGTTCGTGGGGACAAGTGGACCACAGACTCCGTCAACTTCATCAACATCTGCCCGGACCAGGTGCAGGGGGAGTTCCCAGCGCACCTGGCGCGCGGGTACTTCAACCGCAAGGACAAGCAAGTCAACGGCCGCGCCGTCTTCTACAACCGCATAGTCAAGCGCACACTGTACTGGAGTGCTGCTCGCTCGCGCTGGGAAGTGGCCAGTACGGTTGCCGAGGACACGGATAAGTTTGTGGAGGCGTACGCCAAAGAGGACTGCATGTCCCCGGACGTGGCCACCACGTGGTATTTCTACCGCCGTAGAAACGCTTACACGCGAGGGTTCGAGCCCATGCAACGCGTCTGCATGGAGCAGGCCCCATCTGGTGCGTTTGTGCGCGTTCGTGTGTGTGTGTGTGTGCATGTGTGTGCGTGTGCGTGTGCGTGCGTGTGCGTGCATATGCGTGTGTTGTGCTAGGTCTGTGTTCTGCATTTTGCGACTTCAGTCCCGCCACAAATTTCTCACTTCATCCTGTGTTTTGTCCATTTGTTTGGCAAACATTCAACACCACATGGACTTTCTCTTGAAACACATGGACGGTCTCTTGAAACACGTGGACGCCCCTTTTGTTGTACTTGACAGGGCTGCGGTTCCAATATCTGGATGCGCTTGTGCGGACAATTGCGGAGCTGATCAAGGCGGCGGGTCTGCGCATGGCAACTGCAAGCCCCATGATGCAGCAGATGCGAGATGTTCTGGACCACGCCATCGCCCGCGTCAGCATCGGTCACCCCGTCAACTTTGACAGCCCGTCCCTGCTCCACCTCTGCAGCCTCGTGTGCGACATTCCCGCCAACAATAATGATGGCTTCTTCGATCTCATCACAGAGTGCGCGCGTGTCAACTACTTTCACGGCTTCGTGGCCGGGTTTGACCTCACAGCCACCATGTTCCTGTCCACGCTCAATGCGGCGGATGGCGTCACGCCGCAAGCACCACCACCAGCACCAGCACCGCCACAGCAAGCCGCCTCTGGAATATCTGCCGTCACTGAGGATACCAGCGCGGGATCTGAGCAGCACCAAGAGCAAGGCCCAAGCGCGGAGGCAACAGAGCAGTGGGCGTTTGTGCAATTCTTCGACCGCATCTTCAAGGGCCGCGACTTGCTGTTCAATGCGATTGTTCGGCTTCGAAGCGGCGAGCGCCTTTCTCGTGCCATTGGCAGCGCCCCTAAGCTAACAGACGAGCGTGGAGAGCTTGAAGTGCTGATGGATGGCCTTGCGCGCCTCGACCACTGCATCGGCAAGTGCGTCACCTACCGCATGTTTTCTCTCTTCCTGGATTCCTTTGGTAAGCTGGAGGACACGCTGCTGCAGGCCGCAGATGATGCCCGCACCGCAGCGCAGGCCGAGGCGCGCAGGGCCTTGGAGCAGCGTGCTGTCATGCATGGCGTGGGCCGCTTGTCTGCCCGGGAGGCTGCCGTGGACGCAACAGCCGCTGCTGCTGACGACTCATCTTCAGCCCTGCGCGTCATCTCGGCATCGACTGTGGGCATGGACATTGCCAATGCAAACCTCGAATCCCTCCTGCGCGTGCTTGCCGCAACCAAGAGGAACGCAGCGTGGTCGCACACGCTCAGTGCCCGCGTTCCACAGCTGGCCAAGCCACTGGAGAGCGTGGTGGTGATGGCGCGGGGGCTGCCGTACGCCCTGCCGCAATTCATCCTGCTGCTGGAAGAGGCGGTGACAGACAGCTGGACCACAGCCACGACACCAACCAGCCTGCATCGCAACCCTGTCTCTGGCCACCTCATTGAGCTGCTTGCCAACATGACCGAGCACGCGGTTGCTCGCGGTGGGCTGACTCACCGACATCACCAAAGCCACCACGACCGCCGCCGCCACTACGACGCCAACGCCGACGCCACTACGAGTGTCGATGATGATGCTCGCCAGCACGCACTCGACATGCAACTTGTGACCTCCACCATCTTCCACGCCAACCCGGTGCCTGTGCTGGTGTCGCTCATGTGTGGGCGCCAGCTGCACAACAACGTGTTTCGCACGACGGCCGATCTTGGCACGCAGCTATCCTGGTTCACCAGCGCCCTGCGTGCCCTGGGCAACCTGGCCAAGTCGAAGAAGGAGCACCGCCTGCGCATCGTGCATGAAGGCCTTATCCCTGTCCTGCTCCGCTTCCTCATTGTCGGCAACCTCAAGCTGAGGCACAACGCCACGCGCTGCCTCAACGAGACACTCAAGTTCACGCCGGAGAGCGTGGACGAGTTCCTGCAGCAAAGTGGACATCTCACGGTACTGCGCCTGGCCCAGGAGGCCAGGAACGAAGACATTGCCAGCACAGACACGCAGCTTCTTGGGTCACTGCTGAGCGTGCTGGCTGCCATTGCATCCGTGCCTGCCGGCGCCAACGCGCTGCTTGATGAGCCCGAGTTTGTGGCGCTGTTGCGGGAAGCAGTTGATGCGCAGACACGAGCGGTGGAGGGCATGGCGGTGTTTGATGCGTCCCTAGTGAGCCTGCTCATGTGCGACCAGGTGAACCTGCTGTTTGTGGTGCTGCGGCAGCTGCAGGTTCCAACCAGCATGAACACGGTGCGAGCAAACCTCGCCAACCTCGGTGACGCCCTCATGCAGAAAGGGTTCCGCAGTAACATGGAGCGCGTGGAACGGTGGCTGCACCACGACCAGGGCAGCGACAGCGGTGGTGGTGTTGGTGTGACGGGCATTAGCGCTGTGCCCGGCGATGGTGCTGCTGATGAAGAGGATGAGGAGGATGATAACCTCGTTGACGGCACACCGATGCAGCCGGAACACGAGAGCGACTGTGACACGCTGCTCACGGGGCACCTGACCACACGCCAAGGGCAGCAGCTGTCACGGCGTGAGACTTACGCGTACCAGCTCGGCACACTCGCTGATGTGTGCACGGAGAAAGGTGCTGGTGCAGTCAGGAGCGCCACGGCACAAGGCCCATCCAGCGCACAGGAGCAAGCACCGCCACCAAAGGTGTTCTTGTCCTTCAGCTGGGCGCACCAGGTTACCCAGGAGCAGATCTGCGAAGCTCTTAAGCAAGCTGGCTTTGATGTCCTCCTCGACGCCAACTACAACCGCTCCCAGGTGTGTGTGTGTTGTGTGGATGTGTGTGTGATGTGTGTGTGTGTTGTGTGGATGCGTGTGTGTGTGTCTATTTTGCATGTGAGTTGCGTGTGAACCAACATTTGGTGCGGGTTGGTTTGTATTTTCTTCAATGCGTCCAAGGATGGACTTGAAGTCTTACTTGCCACAACATGCGGGTCTTGCTCCGAGTCAACTCTGACTGATTCATGCTGTTGTATGGTTCTGTCTCATACACCCACACCCTGTGGTAGGCGCGGACGTTGAGCAGCGTTGCTACGGCCGTTGCAGATGCAGATGTGACGGTGGTTGATTACTCCCCGGATCACGACAAGTCCTACAGGTGCAACGCAGAGCTCATGTTCATCCACAAGTACCGCAAGCCCTTGTTCTTTGTGAAGACAGCTCGGGCATCGGTGAGTCGACCTTTGTGCCGGGCTTCTCGTGCTACCATATCTGCGAGTCTGACTGTATGCATGTGTGTGTGTGCAGTCGTGTGAATGTGTGTGAATATGCTTGTGTAGTTGTGTGTTTGCGTGTGTGTGTGTGTGTTTGTGTGTGTGTGTTTGTGTTTGCATGTGCGTGTGACATTGAAACTCGATGTGATCAATGTGGTTCTCACACGCGTGCTCAACCCACTGCCTGATTCGCTTGCGTGCTGCGATGTACCCTCGCTTCCGCTCCTTGTCTGCCCTGTGTGCAATTGCAGCCACCAAAGGAGAGCCCGCTGGAGGTGCTGTATTCACAGCACATGCAGTTTGATATGACGCGGTCCGTACAGAGCGATGACGTGGCACTGCAGCTGTGCATGGCTCTCAAGGCCCACTTCTACAACCCAGCAACAACAGCCATAACAACTGGAATGTGCACGTCCGACCCCGTTCTGATCAAGTTCGTGTCGGATGCTGGTGTCGCAGCCAGCGAGGTGCTGCCTGTTTTGCAGCGCCGCGGCGTGTGGACCTTTGACCAGCTTCTGTCACTAACGCGGCACGATGTGGATTCGCTGCCATTGCCTGTGCCAGACAGGGCTGCGCTGCAGGCCAAGATGGATCTTTTTGAGTATGAGGTGCTGGTGACCTTTTTGCGGCGCGTTGGCGCTGCCTCACTGCATGCGCTGAGTGCCCTGCGCAGCCACGGCGTGCTGTCGTTTGCGATGCTGGCAGCGCTTGGGCGTGACGAGTTGATGCATATGGGCTTGCACATGGGTGACATTGTGCAAATTCTCAACAACAAGGGGAGCTTTGACGCGGACGCTGCACTGGCTCAAGTGAGGACACACCGTGGTGGTGGTGGCGGGTCTTGGTCGCAGCCCAGCGGGCTTGAATCGCAGCCCAGCTGGGCGTTCCCACCGCTTTACCAGCAGCAGGCCCCAACACAACAGCAGCAGCAGCAGCAGCAGCCGCAGCAGCAGCAGGGGGAGGCGTCGGGGAGTGGGCAGGGCGGCTTGTCAAGCCCGCTGTCGGATGATGTGCTTCGTGCGCTGCAACGGAAGGAGCAGGAACTTATGCAGGCGCAGCAGGAGATGCAACGACAACAGCAAGAGCAAATGCAGCAAATGCAGCAAATGCAAAGGCAGCAAGAAGGGCGTGAGCGGCAATTGCGACAACAACACCAGCAGGGGCAACAAGTGGAGCGTGAGACGCAACAGCAACAACAACAACAACAACAACAACAACAACAACAACAACAACAACAACAACAACAACAACAACAACAACAACAACAACAACAACAATCATCGTCTGCTTTGGAAGGCGGAGAAGCGCTGCAAGAAGCTAGCCAGACGGATCCCAGCACGTTGGCCAGTGGGCAAGGCGGAGAAACGACCGAACAAGGGCAAAGTGTGGAGAATGCCACAGACAACGGAGTGGACACTGTCGCTGGTGAGTTGGCAGGCGAAGATGAGACGTCAGCAGAGGGCGGTGATAGCGCCCGAGAAGATGCAACAGCGCGCACAACGACCGACGACGCCACAGCTCACGCAATGGACAACGGTGCCACGGAGGAGAGCCCTGCAGAGGGCGCGCGGGACCAGGACACTAGCGTTTCAGATGCAGCCTCGCGCGACGCTAGGACTGACCAAACACAACGGCCTGAGGCAGAGGCGGAGCAGGCCGACAGCGGTGCACCGACAGCGGGTATCATTGCCGATGATCAGGCAGCAGATCACGAGGAGGAGGAGGAGGGCGAGGAGAACGAGGAAGAAGAAGAAGAAGAAGAAGAAGGAGAAGAAGGAGAAGAAGAAGAAGAAGAAAAAGAAGAAGAAGGGGATGATAATGACGATGATGATGACGATGATGATGAGGGCCAGGATGTGCAGGACAAGGAGCAGCAAGAGAAGGGAGAGGAGGGCGGTTCAGAGACAGATACGGACACGGATAACGAGGGTCCTAAAGGGGGCCGTGTGGTCAGCGTGTGACATGTTCGACAGAGGGGCAGCCTGTGTGACATGGGTGTGCGTGAGTGCGTGTGTCTGAATGTGTGTGCGTGTGTGTGAAGCAAAGTTACAGTGCAGATAACTGCAATACACTGAAGTTCAGCAATGGAAGATGTGATGTCCCAGGAGACGGAGAACATGCCACAGAGAGAGAGAGACAGAGAGAGAGAGAGAGACAGAGACAGAGAGACAGAGAGACAGAGAGAGAGAGAGAGAGAGAGAGAGAGTACACACACACACACACAGGTGCATTTAACTGCAATACAAAGAATACAATGAAGTTTAGCAATGGAAGATGTGATGTCCTGGGGACGGAGAACATACCACACACACACACACGCACACACACACACACACACAGCACACACACACACACACACACACACACACACACACACACACACACACACACACACACACACACACACACACACACACACACACACACACACACACACACGAGTGTGGCTCTTTTGTCCTTCGATCCTTCCCACCGCGCGTTTGAATTTCCCGCCGCGGGTACAAACACCATAAATTGCACTCCAAATACTGCAACCGCCAGCCAGCCAGTTAGCCAGCACAGCAATCAAATCCCCAAAGCAACTTCACCCACCCACACCGCAGGGATGTATGTGACCATCGCTTACCCGTTTGCGGACGAAGACGTTGATCTTCAGATCGACAATGAGGCGTCCTTCAAGGTAAGGGAGCAAGTGTTGTGATGTGACCTTTGTACTTGGGTGCTGCTGTGAGTTGACACGCGTCAGCTTTTATCATGGTCAGCATCAGCCGGGAGGATTTTCGCGTTGCGTGTTGGTCGGCCGTTCTCGCGTCACACACACATACACACATTGATCGCGAGCGTTGGGAACAACGGCACTCTCATATGGCTGGCTGGCCTGTCTTGTACATTTTCATGCTCTGTATAGACGCTGGGAGAGAAGATCGTGGCGGCCGCTCCCCGTGCCCTTCCACGAGAGAAGCTCCTCTCCGAGTTCACCGTCGTTGTGAACAGGTGTGTGTGTGTGCGTGCGTGATGGTGACAATGCCGATAATGCTGATGTGGCAATGTGCTCGGGGTTTGTGTGCAAAGGGACACACATCAGGTGCCTGGTCTGGTCTTGGATGTGTGTCAACGTGTGTGGAGGGGTGCCGACGATGTACCTGACTCCCCTTTCCCCAGGCCTGGCTGGCTGCTGACGTCACAACTTGTCACGACAACAACAACCGCGTTCGTGTTGATAGAAACGGCCGCGACCGCGTGCTGAATCTGACGTTGGAGCAGCCCGTGTCCATCCTTCTGGAGAGCAACGATGCGTTGCAGATGATACCAGGTACGCGTGCATGTGTGTGTGTGTGTGCACTTGTGGCTGCAGTGGCGGACAAGGTACACACCAACCTGGAGCCCATGTTTGTGTGACCACCACCACCACCACCACCACCACCACCATCACCACTCATCATCATCACCATTATCATTTTCATCACCACATGTCTGGTTCACAACCTTCGGCAGGCATCCCGCCATACTTGGTGGACACAGAGGGGCGGCCGCTTCAGGTGCTGACCTTCTCGCTGGATGATGATCAGCACACCGTCACGCACATCAACGAGGCCAACTTGCGTCAAATCCTGTACCGGCACGACGTCAAGGACCTACCCGTTGTTGTCCTCAGCGTCGCTGGTAAGGTGGTTGTGGTGCTAGTGATGCTGCCAGTGGCGCTGGGAGTGCCATCATCTCGTGCACTGCTTTCAATCAATTCCTCTGTATGTCGTCAACTTTGCAGTTGACAAGCACATGTATGCGTGCGTGTGCGCACGAACAAGTTCGCTCTTCCTGCATTCTCATCATGTGCTGCTTCCCTTGACTGACAGGGCCCTTCCGAACTGGCAAGAGTTTTCTCCTCAACTTCATCCTTCGCTACCTCGAGAACGACGGGGTGTGTGGGCGTGTGTGTGTGTGGGCGTGCGTGTGTGCGTGTGTTGGGGGGTGGTGGGGGTGGTGCGTGCGTGGGCGTGTGTGGGCGTGTGTGGGCGTGTGTGTGTGTGTGTTGGGGGGGGATGTTGTTGTTGCGTCGGAGCTGTGCTGTTGCTTGAGGGTGTGGTGTTGCGGACAGAAGTGGTTTTCATCCCAGTGAGCATGCGTTGGGTCTCTGCCCTCCAAGTTGCTGCCTGCGGAGTCGTCCTTGTGTTCTCATCCACAACCTCAACTCCCCGGGCCTTGCTTCCCGTCTCCATCGCGGGGCTAGGCGGACTGGGGCTCGGAAGCGTCCATGCAGGCTGCAGAAGGCTTCCACTGGCGCCACGGCATTGAGCGCGACACCGTTGGCATGTGGATGTGGAGCAAACCTTTTGTCCGCACCATGCCGGGCGGTGACCGCGTCGCCGTCATCGTCGCAGACACACAGGTGCGCACTGCATTGCTCGTGTGCGTATGTTCACGTGCTGTAGGGATGTGTGCGTGTGTGTGCGTGCTTGCGTGTGTGTGCTTGCGTTTACGTGCTCTGTGTGTGTGTGTGTGTGTGTGTGTTAGTGTGCTGTGGTTATGTGTGTGTGTGTGTGTGTGTTAGTGTGCTATGTTTGTGTGTTTCGTGTTTGATCACTTTCGTGCGTCTGCGGTGCATCGCGCATGCCAGCACGCTCACTGATGCTTCTTCCCATCACGTCTCCCATTGCCACGAACCAACTGCAGGGCACCTTTGACAAGCACACGGTGATGGCAGAGAACACGCGCATCTTTGCCCTCAATGCCCTCATCTCCTCCCAGCAGGTCTACAACATCAAGGAAAAGATTTCAGAGGACGTCTTGCAGGTGCGCTGTGCGTGCGTGCGTGTGTGTGTGTTTGTGCTTGTTTCGTTTGTGTACTTGCGTGCACGGTGCTTTGCCTCGCAATGGCTCTACTGCCATGCATGTTCCGACGAGTACTGAACGCATCAACTTTCTCCTCCGTGCGTATGCACACACACCACCACCACACACACACACACACACACACACACGTCCTCCCTTCTTGTTTCTCCCCTGCTTCTGTGCAGCAAATGCATCTGTTTACAGAGTACGGTGCCATGGTTGCCCGCACCCTCGAAGGCCAGAAGCCCTTCCAGAACCTCGAGGTGCGCCCCTTCGTCGTCCGTGCTCTCACGCGCCTTCCTTGGCTGCAACCGTGCTGGATGATGTGCGTTTGTGTGCTCGAAGACACACATGACGCTCACCACAACCTAACAGACACCAACACACAATTACTCAACACATATGTACTTGCTCACCTCTTCACCCCGTCTTCTTCACCACCACCACCACCACCACCACCACCATCGTTGTCGTCGTCGTCACCACTTCTGCCGTTGCCATCGTCCCCCTTCCACCCCCCCCCCAAAAAAAAACCAGTTCCTCATCCGGGATTGGGAGTTTGAGTCGCACGCGCCCGGCGCTGCCGGCGGCCAGGAGTACCTCGACAGCATCCTCGCCATCTCAGACGGTTCGTGCACACGCGGCAAGAGCGTGGTGGCGGAGGAGAAAGCACGCGCAACCTGTGCTGCATGCGTTCGCACAGGCATTGTGCACGCTCATTGTCACCTCGCCACACGCACACGACACAACACAACACAACACGCATACACATTCGCTCTGACGCTGCATATGCGCGCGGTCGTGTGTGTGTGTGTGTGTGGTTGTGTGTGCGCAGACTTGCCAACAGAGCTGCGTGAGGTGCGACTGTGGCTGCAGGACTGCTACGAGGCCATCACGTGCTTCCTGCTGCCCCACCCGGGCAAGAAGGTCACGAAGAAGGAGTTTACGGGCAATCTCACCGTCCTTGAGGAGGACTTCCGTGAGCACTTTGTCGAATTCGTCTCAAACATCCTCTCGGTCAGTGCTCACTAGGCAGTGCCTCACAAACACACACACACACACAGAGCGAGAGAGCGAGAGAGCTTGTACGTGGTGGTGACGGTATCCTTTGATTGCCACACGTTGCTTTCTTCTGGCTGCTCACCTCCTTGTCGTTGTCGTTGTCGCTTTTGTTCCTGTGCGTCTGTGTGTTTGTCCGCTTCTCGCGCTCCCTCTCTCTCTCTTTTGCTGTCTCTCGCTCTCTCTGTGACTTTGCTCATTTGTTCCTCAGCCGGAGCGCATTGCTGTGAAGAAGATTGGAAACCAGAACCTGACGTGCTCGTCGCTGCTCGACCTCTTCCGCACATATGTCGACGCCTTCAACACCGCCGAGCTCCCGCAGGTGACACAACCGCCGCTCACATGCACGTGACGCGCACCACTGTTGCTGCTTTGTTTTAATTGTTTGTCTGTTTGTTTTGTTTTGTTTTGTCTTTGTTTGTTTGTTTGTTTGTTTGTTTGTTTGTTTGTTTGTTTGTTTGTTTGTTTGTTTGTTTGTTTGTTTGTTTGTTTGTTTGTTTGTTTGTTTGTTTGTTTGTTTGTTTGTTTGTGATGCTCTTCCTGACATCGAGATGAGACGCTTTTACTCCACGCGAAGCCCTTTCTTCTTCTTCTCAAAACATGTACATACACACACATACACTCACGCTTCATCCCTTCTCTGTGTACGTGTTCCCGCGCTAGGTGAGCACGCTGTTCCAGGCGACGGCGCGCGTGAACCACGATGCGGTGCGCCAGTCCGTGCTCGGCTCCTACCGCGACGCCATGCGCCGGATTGCCGGTCCGGGCTTCCCGCACGTTGCTGAGTCACACCTTCGCAACCAGCACGAGGCCGCACATGCCAACGCAATCTCAATCTTCGAATCCGCCAAGCTCCTCGGTACGCTTCAGTGATGCGTGATGCGTGCTGTGCGGTGTGAGTGTGTTGTGTGGTATGTGTATGTGTTGTCTGCGTCTGCTTGTGCGTCTGCTTGTGTGCGGGTGTATGTAAATGTGTGTGTGCGTGTGCGGGTGTATGCAATTGTGCGTGTGCGTATTGGTGGAGGGTGCGTTTTCGGGACGTGGTCGTCGTTGCTGGCTCATTTTGCACATCGTGTGTACGATTTCCTTACACCCTTCAACAGGCAGCGCCGCGCAGAAGGATCACCTGAGGGCAGACATTGAACGCGAGCTGGAGACGCTGTGAGTGGTGCATCGCCATGACTGATGCCGTGATGCACACTGCCACTGCGCGTCGTGTTTCTCTCCATTCCCCTATGTGTGTGTGTGTGTTGCTTGCTGCCTTGCACCCTGACTTAACTCTCATTCCTGAATCACCACACACACACACACACACACACACACACACACACACACACACACACACACACACACACACACACACACACACACACACACACACACACACACACACACACACACACACACACACACACACACACGCGCGCGCGCGCACGCACCCCACCAGGTGGACGCAAATGCAGGCGTACAACCGCAGCAAGGACATTCTTCGCGGCATGCGCACGCCGCTCATCTTTGCAGCGGCCGCCTTCCTGCTCAACATTGTTGCCGCGGTGCTGGATGTTGTTGAGCTGGACCCCATTGCGTACATCCTCAACTTCATTGCGTGGGTTGGCGTGTTTGCGCTTGTTGGTTGGGGCACCCTCAACTACACGGGCCAGCAGCCAGAGCTGCGTGGGGCGCTGGACTCGTTTGCAGACACCCTGTTCCAGACAGGCCGCGTTGCCGTCGCGTCTCTCGCGCAGCCCGCCGAACAGCAGCCGGCGGCCTCTGCACCCGCGCAACGCCGTGCCCGTGCACCTGCATCGTAACTCAACAGTAGCCGTGCTGAGCTTCCTTGTTTGCTTTGCGCTTCGCTTATTGTCCTTGGTTCCTACGACATATGCCCTGTCGCTTGCCTGTCTTTGTGTGTGCGTGCGTGTGTGCTTGTGATTGTGTCTGTGATTGTCTTTGCTTGATTGACCGGCTGCTTGCTCCTGTGCTTGGTTTGGCTGCTTCGTACACATAGAGAACGAGCCTGAGGCGCGTGAAGTGCAAGTGCGCGTGCGTGAGAGGGGGAAGAGACACAGAGAACACACACACACACACACACACACACACACACACACACACACACACACACACACACACACACACACACACACACACACACACACACACACACACACACAGCTTTTTGGCTGGAAATGTGGTGGATGATTTTGTGCAAGATTCCGCAACCACGATGGACGGGCTGTTTGATGCGTTTGACGAGACAGCACCACGTGCTGCGACACCAGCAAAGCACAAGAGTGAGTGTTTGGCGTGGGATGGAGCAGGGTGAGGGGCGGGGGGGAAGGAACAAGCTGCAATGAGCCTGCGGGTTGTGGTCAAACAGTTGAGAAACACACACACACACACAGTCTTGCTCCTGTTGCTGGATCAAGTGCCCTTGCGTGCTTGCACGCTCGCTCACCCTTTGTGCAATCACACTCCACCAGGCAATGTGCAAGCTGTGATCGAGGCTGTTGCCGAGGCCGGCGACAAACGTCTGCCTCCAACCACCACACCAGATGACATTGAGGATAACACGCCAGGCGGTGTCAAGGCTGAGCTTGCTGTAAGTTGCCGCGCATGATGCACATCGTGGCTGCAGCGCACCCCCGATCATGCGTTGTAACCGCTTTGTGTAGCATTTGTCTGTGTGCGCACGATATCAGTGCGCATGACAGCGTCTACGTGCACATGTGCATATTTGTGTGTGAGAAGAGCACTGTACCTGAGCAATAGATCACGCCCAGACGGTTCTTGGCTCACCACTGCTCTTGCTGTGATCTCGCTGTGATCCCTTGTCTGTATTTTTTTTTTTTTTTTTGCATTGTGCTCGTGCTTGTGCCATTGTTGTGCAGAGGATCGAAGCAAAGAAGAAGAACGTATCTGCGCATGACAGCGTGTCCATCCCCCTCAGCAAGATGGGGGCTGCGTTCCAGAAAGTCTCTGCAACGCCAACAGTGATCAGCGGCGGGTCCAAGGACTGCCTGCACGAGGTTCGTGCCCACAGCCGCAACACCTGCCTCTGCGAGCGTTCGCGTGTGAGACTGTGAACTTCGACAGCCACTGCTCACGCCGCCACGGGTTTGTACTATTACTGATGTGGCCTCTGCCGCTTTTTCACAGGTGGCCATTCCACCAGGGCACGAGTACACGCCATTTGATGAGACGCCGGCCCCTGAGAAGCCAGCCAAGACATACCCGTTCACACTCGATCCTTTCCAGCGAGTCAGCGTGCAGTGTCTCGAGCGCAACGAGGTGTGTGTATGTGCTTGTGTGCGCGTACTTGTACTTGTATCTGTGTACTTGTGTACTTGTACCTGTGCGCCTGTACCTGTGTTCGTGTGTGCGCCTGTGTGCTTGTGTGTGATGGAAGCTGTGACGGCTGTGTTGTCACAAGTCGAGCGTAGTTTACACCTTTGTCGTGTCTTGCTCACGCGTTCCTTGCTGCCAACAATGCTGTGGTTCCTAGTCTGTGCTCGTATCTGCGCACACATCTGCGGGTAAGACGGTGGTTGCCGAGTACGCCATCGCCATGTCTCTTCGTGACGGCCAGGTGAGCAGCAAGTCAAAGGAGCCTTCATGCCCTCTCCATGTGGTTGTGATTGTGGTTGTGTGATTGTGGTTGTGTGTGTGTGTGTGTGGTTGTGTGTGTGTGTGGTTGTGTGTGTGTGTGTGGTTGTGTGTGTGTGTGTGTGTGTGGTTGTGTTGCGGCTGGGTGTGTGACTAACCGCGTGATACCCTTTGAAGCTGCAGTCTCACGACATACAAACCTCACCACCACCACCACCACCACCACCACCACCACCACCACCACCACCACCACCACTGCACGTGACCGCACGTTTACAGCGTGTGATCTACACCAGCCCGATCAAGGCGCTGAGTAACCAGAAGTACCGCGAGCTTGCAGAGGAGTTCAAGGATGTCGGCCTCATGACTGGTGCGCTTTTACTGCCGTGGGGATATGCCATGCTGGGCTGCATATTCGCACCTGTAGTGCGTGTGTGTATACGCGTGAGTGCTCGGCTGGGTCTTTGCGAACTTGCACACATCCTCCCTGTTTTGTGCGCGTATTTGCTGGTTCTGATGTGCGTGTGCGTGATTTTTTTTCTGCTCGTGGCTGATATGCGGCTGTCTGCTGCGTGTTGGGCAGGTGATACGACCATCAACCCAAGCGCCAGCTGTCTGGTGATGACAACAGAGATTCTTCGCTCCATGCTCTATCGCGGCTCGGAGGTGCGCGCGCAGCGCAATTCATTGCTTCTCATGTGTGCTGCAGCGGTGAAGTGCCCTGTCACAATACGCACACACACACGCATACACACACACACACACACACACACACACACACACACACACACACACACACACACACACACACACACACACACGCGCGCGCGCGCGCGCGCCATCTCACATGCTGTCTCTGTTCATGTGCGTGGTCGTGACTCTTCATTTCAGATCATGCGTGAGGTTGGCTGGGTTGTCTTTGACGAAATCCATTACATGCGCGACGCAAGTAAGTGTGCGCCTCGTGTGTGTGTGTGTGTGTGTGTGTGTGTGTGTGTGTGTGTGTGTGTGTGTGTGTGTGTGTGTGCTCGCGCGCGTATGTGTATGTTGGAACTTGTGTTATACACACCAGCACAGTGCACATGTCCCGTGTTTGTGTGTGTGCGTGTGTGCGTGTGTGCGTGTGTGCGTGTGCACGTGTGCGTGTGTGCGTGTGCGTGCGTGTGTGTGTATGTGCGTGTGCATACGTCGACACTTCACTGTACAAATGTCTCATGCGCTGCTGTTGCTCACATAAGACTGTACTTTGGCGTTTTGTTCACTCCCATCAGACCGCGGTGTTGTGTGGGAGGAGACGTTGATTCTGCTCCCAGACAACGTCCACTATGTCTTCCTCTCCGCCACCATCCCAAATGCCCTGCAGTTTGCCCAGTGGATCAGCCACATTCACAACCAGGTGCCTTGCTCGCTCCACACACATTCGCACACATACGCACACACATACGCACACACACACACACACACACAGTCCGTTCCCCATCCTCTGCTTGCGCTTTGACCGCCGGATCAGCTGTGTTGCATCTCACACTCGACACACTACTACCACAACCACATCACACAACACATCTACTACTTTGTCCGGTGCCAATACGCCACCAGCCATGCCACGTCGTGTACACGGACTACCGCCCCACGCCGCTGCAGCACTACATCTACCCGTCCGGCGCAGAGGGACTCTACCTCATTGTGGGCCCAGACGGTCGGTCTCGCTTACAGCCAGATGGAGAGGGGGGAGGGGGCGATGTGGGGGTTGCACACATTTGCCGCTACGTGCAGTACGTGAGCGTGTTTAAATTGGTGCGCGTGTGCGTGTGCGAAACTACGTCATGCGTACATGTGCGTGAGTCGTGTCAACATGCGCTGCTTGCCTCAACCCGCTCACCACCCTCGACCCCTGCGAACACACCACCACGGCCACTAGGCGGGTTCCGGGACGACAACTTTACCAAGGCGATGGCGTCGATGCAGATCTCTGGGGCCGCCAACAAAGGCCGGGCCAAGGGCCGCTCCAAGGGGCAGTCCAACATCAGCGCCATTGTGGGCATGATCATGAAGCGCAAGCTCCACCCCTGCATCGTCTTCAGCTTCAGCAAGCGCGAGTGCGAGACATACGCCATGGACCTCTCGAAACTCGACTTTAACACAGGTTCGTCGTGTGTGTGTGTGTGGGGGGGGGGGTACACTCATGGGGATATTTGTGTGTGGGCGTGCGTGCGTGCGTACTCATGCGTGTATTGTTGTGTGCGTGCATGCGAATGGTATTGTCGCGTGCACTGCCTTTGCTTTGCTGCTGGCGTTCATGCATATGCCTGTCATCTCCTCATTCACTCCCTTGGCGCGTGCGCTTTCACCCGCTGCAGAGGACGAGAAGAAGAACATTGAGCTCATCTTCACCAACGCCATCGCCTCCCTCTCCGAGGAGGATCGCGCCCTCCCCTCCGTCAGTCATCGCCATGATTGTTGCCTTTGCTGTCTTGTTGATACTCGTGTTGTTGTTGTTGTTGTTGTTGTTGTTGTTGTTGTTGTTGTTGTTGTTGTTGTTGTTGTTGTTGTTGTTGTTGTTGTTGTTGTTGTTGTTGTTGTTGTTGTTGTTGTTGTTGTTGTTGTTGTTGTTGTTGTTGTTGTTGTTGTTGTTGTTGTTGTTGGCTGTTGCGGCCTTTGCTGCCTTTGTTGATTGCTGTTTTTTTTCTGGTGCTGGTGCTGGTTTTGTCGACACACGCCGCTCGGAATCGCACAACTTCCCCCTCCCCACCACCACGCCCTTGCCCTCATGATGGCACGTGCATGTGTATGTGAGTGCAGATTGAGAATCTCCTGCCGCTGATGAAGCGTGGTGTGGGCGTGCACCACAGCGGTCTGCTGCCCATCATGAAGGAGGTCACCGAGCTCCTCTTTGGCGAAGGCCTCGTCAAGGTCCGCTGTGCACGCATGTGATGCCATTGCACCTGTGTTGTGGCTGGTTCCCTATCGTGTGTCTCTTGTGCACTTGCTCCAGAGAGTCTCTCCACATCCGCGTGCTCACACGCACATGACATCACGACCTCACAAACTCACGCACTTGTGCACACACATGCGTCCACGTCATGCCTCGTTCCTCCCTCTGTGTGTGTGTGTTGTGTTGGCAGGTGCTGTTTGCCACGGAGACCTTCGCCATGGGTCTCAACATGCCGGCCAAGACCGTTGTGTTTTCAAACGTGAAGAAGTTTGATGGAAAGGAGTTCCGCCCGCTGTCCTCTGGCGAATACATCCAAATGTCTGGACGTGCCGGCCGTCGCGGCCTGGACACAAACGGCATTGTCATCCTCATGATGCAAGAAAAGCTGGAGCCCCAGAACGCAAAGGGGATGCTGCAAGGACAGGCAGACAAGCTCAACTCCGCCTTCCGCCTCACATACAACATGGTGCGTGCATGTGCTCGAGCGTGATTGTCGTACTTTGGGCTGTGTATGTGCGAGTGTGTGCGTGTGTCTGCAAGCCTTCATGTGTGTGCGTGTGAGGGAGTGGAGACACCCACGAGCGAAACTGTGAGCTGGCTTACCCCTGCCTTCTGAAATGCACGGTACTCACGACACGACTCGTGCGCGTGTTCAACTTGGTCTCGGGCGCTGTCAGGTCTTGAATCTGCTGCGTGTGGAGGAAATCAACCCAGAGTACATGCTCAACAAGAGCTTCTACAAGTTCCAGAACACACAAGGTCCGTGGTGATGCAAGAGAGGGGGTGTGGCGGTGTGTTTGGTTGGAGAAGGAGGGAGAGAGGGAAGAGATGCACTGTGGATGTGTGAATGTGGGTGGAATGTGACCGCAAGCGCTGCATTTGTCCACACCCTGCAAGAAGAAACTGCCTCCATCCCACCACCCCATCGCACGCTCACAATACAAGGGCACATGTTGTGCATGTGTGACGCGTGCAGACATTCCTGCGATGCGCAAGCGCGTGGAGGAGTTGGCGGCGGAACACAAGAGATTCACCGTCGACCGTGAGGATGAAGTCGAGGTATGCGCGCGCGCGTGTGTGCATGTGTGTGTGTGTGTGTGTGTGTGTGTGTGTGTGTGTGTGTGTGTGTGTGTGTGTGTGTAAACGGTGTCGAATAGCGGCCCTTGTCAAGACGGGGTTGACACAAATATCGCCTCTGGTCCTTGTTCTGCACTCCTGTTGTGGTTGCAGATGTATCACACGCTGGTCACGAGCAAAGACACGCTTGAGGGAAAGCTCAGCACAGCAATCACAGAGACAAAGCACATTCTCAGATACCTGAACCCGGGCAGGTGCGCACCCGTGACGAGTGTGTGGTGATTCTGTGGTGACTATGTGATGGTGACTGGGATGGTGTCCGTGTGGTGGCTGAGTGGTGTGAGCACAAACGCGTATTGTTGTATCTGCGAATGCCCTTTGCATACAGCACTTGCCTCCTCATCCTTCACCTTACACCGTTACATCTCCCCCTCCTCTTCTTGTTACTCCCCACGTTCAGATTGGTGCATGTGCAGGATTCACAGCAGGACTGGGGATGGGGTGCCGTTGTCAATTTCCAGCGCAAGAAGCCCCAGCAGCTGCCGGTGCGTGGCGTGGGATGCAGTGTGTGCTTTTGGTTGGCAGGGACTGCTGCTGCTGCTGTTTATATTGATGAGGGTGCGCGGGTTGTGTGCATTCAGTGCTGCTTCGTCTCTGTTTCATGTGTTCCACATTGTTACTATTCCACCCACACACACACCTTCGTTCTCCTCCTCCATCATCCCCCTCCCCTGCCCACCGCAAACGACGTGACAGGGCCAGGCACAGCAGACGAAAGAAGTGGTGATTGTGGATGTGCTGCTCAACTGCGATGCCACCGTCGTGGTGAGTATCCAGCAGCAGCAGCAGCAGCAGCAGCAGCAGCAAACGACCAGCACATGCCATGACCCAGCATGTCTTCGCGCGCGCATTTGAATGTTTGTGTTGGCGGGTTGTGCCCCTGTTTATTCTTCCCACCTTCACGATGTTCCCCTGGTGCTTTTGCTCATTGCGGTGTGAGCAGAAGGGTGATAAGCCACGTCCGTGCCCGGCAAATGGATCCGGGGATCCGCAAGTCATCCCGGTCGTTCTCGGTGCAATCAAGGGCCTCTCCAGAGTGAGTCACTCACATGCACACTTGTGCAAGCGTTTAAGAGTGCGAACGTGCAATTGCGCAAGTGCTCAACACTCAAGGCGTCATGTGCATGTGTGTGCGTGTGTGTCATGACGGGTGATCTGATTGCCTCCCGTGCCCATATCGTTCCATGGCTCCTTGACTCATGTCTGCGTGTGCGTCTGCGTGTGTGTGTGTGTGCGTGCGTGTGCGTGTATGTGTGCGCGTGTGTGCGTGTGCGTGGTTAGTTGTGCATGCGGCTTCCAAGGAGCATCAAGCCGGCTGACGAGCGGAAGCGCTTGTACAAGAACATCCGGGAAACCCTTCGTCGCAAAGGACGTACGGTCACAACACGAACACGTTGCGTGTGTGTTTGTGTTTGTGTTTTATCATGTTTGTGTTTGTGGCGTGTTCTTTGAGGAAGCAGCAATGTATGTGTCTGTGTGTATGATGTGTGCGTTCTTGTCTATGTTGCTCTGATGCCTACGCGCACTTCGCTCACACACACACACACACACACACACACACACACACACACACACACACACACACACACACACACACACACACACACACGCACACACATGCTCACTCACACAACTACCGACAGCGTGCCCGCTGCACCCCGTGAAAGAGATGAAGATTCAGGACGAAGCGATTGTGCATCTGTGCTCCCAGATTGATGATCTCCACCAAAGGTTCGTTGCTGGCGCACCTGTGCACTTCCTTTGGTTTGGTTTGGTTTGGTTTGGTTTGGTGCGTGCGCGCGCGCGCGTGTGTGCGAACCTGCGGACATCCGTGCAAGAGCGCGCGTGCCATGCTGACCCTGCACATGCAATCTGGTGATGTTCTGCCCGCACATAACCGCGTTGACACACAGGATTGAGACGCATCCTCTGCACAAGGACGAGAACCGGGAATCTCTCCTCGCACTCTTCCGCAAAAAGCGTGACGTGAGATGACACACACACACACATGCACACACACACACACACACACACACACACACACACACACACACGCACATATGCACACACACGCGCACACATGCACACGGAAATGAGCATGAAAGCACTTGCCTCGACACACATGCGTTGTGCGCGTGCGACATTCCATCCTCATGTGTCTGTGTGTGCGTGTTTCAGATCTATGAGGAGCTTCTGGCAACAAAGCGGCAGCTGAAGATGAGCGAATCCATCCAGCAACTCGATGAACTCAAGAGCCGCAAACGCGTTCTTCGCAGGTGCGCACACACTCACACACGCACACACACACCATGTGCACGCACACGCATGCACATGCGCGTCCAAGCGTACGCGACTCCCTGGCGTAGTGACTCGCCACCATGTTCTCACCTCGAGTGGTGTGTGCACTTTGGGCCTTGGGCAGGTTGAAGTTCTGCACGGACGACGATGTGATTGAGATGAAGGGGCGGGTTGCATGCGAAATTAACACGGGCGACGAGCTGCTCATCACAGAGATGATCTTCAACGGCGTCTTCAACGACCTCTCAGGTCAGTCAGCCATTGCGAGGTGACCCTTGTGATGGTGGTGGCGGTGGTGGTGAGTATGGTGTGTGTGTGGGTGGGTCGTGGATGGTGCCTTGTGCTTGTCTTGTGCAGGGGCTGTATCTGGCATGTGGTATGTTGTGTGCGTGCGAATGTCAGTGTTATATACGCTCATCAGAACACTTGCCTGCGTGCGTTGCAGTGGTGCAAGTTGTGTCGCTGATGTCGTGCTTTGTTGCGAGTCCGACAAAGGACGAGACGCCGTCCAAGATGAAGGAGGAGCTGAGCGGCCCCTTCAAGCAGATGCAGGTCAGATACCACACACATACACACACAATCATTCAGAACCCGCTTGTGTTCCTGCCGTTGTTCCGGTCACTTGTGTTGCACGTCTCGCATGCACACATATGCACACACACGCACACGCACACGCGTTTCATGCTGCCGTTATTGCAACAAGGCACACCTAAACAACCACGCATCACATGGCATTGCGCACGTCCATTCACACCACCTGTGTCACGTCTGACATCTCACAAACACGTGTGTGCGCTGCCTTATGCCCGCAGGAGATGGCAAGGCGGATTGCCAAGGTCTCGATTGAGTCACGCATCACCCTGGACGAAGAAGAATACGTTTCGGTGAGTGGCTGTGACATGGCTGTGGTACACGTTGTGGTACACGCTGTGGTACACCCTGTGTTGGCGCACGTGTATTTCTATTTCTCTGCTGCTCTGCCTCTGCTGTGTCTCACGAGACGTGATACATGTGCGTGCATGTGTTTGTGTTTGTGTGTGTCGTGTGTGTGTGCATGTGTGTGTTTGTGTTTGTGTGCAGCAATTTGCGCCCGACATGATGGACATTGTGAACCAGTGGTGCTGTGGTGCGCGGTTCTCTGACATCTGCAAGATAACCACCATGTATGAGGGCAGCATCATCCGCTCCATGCGCCGTCTCGAGGTGCGGTGCAGAAGAGAGACAAGAGGGGTTTGTGTGCGTATGTGTGTGTGCGTATGTGAGTGTGAGTGTGAGTGTGAGTGTGTGTGTGTGTGCGTGTGTGAGTGTGATTGTCTGTATTTGTATTGCGTGCGTGTGCGCTCATGCGTCTGCGCTCGAGTTCGCTCATGCGTCCGCGCTCGAGTTCGCACTCGTGTGTTGAATCCACACGGCCCAGTGTGCACGTTCATGCAAAGACTGTTGGCAGTCGTGTGCATCTCCTCATGCTGTGCTTGATTTGTTGATTCTTCATGTCCCACACGCAGGAGCTGCTGCGACAGATGGCGGCGGCGGCAAAGGCCATTGGCAACAGCGAACTGGAGCACAAGTTTGCAGAGGGCATGTCCCTCATCAAGCGAGACATTGTCTTTGCAAACTCCCTGTACCTCTGAGCATGCGCCTGCGCGTCTGTTTGTCAATGTGAACATGACGCTGGTTTTCTTGTTTTGTGCACAACTTCTCCGTCAGCGTATTGCCTCTTTTTTGGTACAGCTTGTGGTACACTGTGATGTGGGCTGGAAGCATGGATGCAGGCCGTTTTGTACACACACACACACACACACACACACACACACACACACACACACACACACACACACACACACACACACACACACACACACACACACACACACACAACAACAACAACAAAGCACGAGACAACACACAAGTTGTGACGATTGCTGAAAGGTATGGTTGACTTTTCGAGGGCTCCATGACGATGATGACCAGCAGCAACAGCAGGAGAGGTGATGGTGTGCGGGAGGAGCGTCCACCCACACCAACTCTGGACGAGTTGATGGGAGGAATGGTTGTGGAGACGCAAGGAGAAGTGCGACAGCAACCACAACCGCAACAGCAGCGACAACGCGGTGTAGGGCACCAAGGAGAGGAAGATGAAGGCCTGGGCGGTGTGGTCATGGGCATGCCTGAACCATTGGTTCCTGCAACACACCAGGACCAACAACAACAACAGCGACAACAGCACCAGCAACGTGATCCACCAGGCCCTGCCAGTGGGCGAAGTACGCCAGAGCTGGACGAATTGGTGCGCCAGGATATGGCGCGTGTGCGCGTCGACAGCAATGGAAACCCTATTCCCCTGCCCCCGCTGCCAAGTGATGAGACGCCGATTCTGCATGAGAGAGTGCCGGCTGTCCGGCAAGGTGCAAGCAGCCAACATCCCGCACTCACGCCATACGTGTCGCTTGAACATGCCGTGTCCAACCTCTACGGCACCATGCTTGCATCTGCGCAAGAAGCGGATGCCTTCTCTGACAAACAAGGTGTGCGCCACTCTGCATGCCATGCTGTTGTTGCCCTGTGGTTTCTGTTGGTTTACATGATGTCATCTTCATTTGACGAGCCTGTCCCACGGTGTTTCATTGTATCACATGTCGGCAGATCCCAACGTGCTTCTGTCACACATGAGCGATGGCGTCACGTTTCCATATGAACTGCCCGCACGTGATAGTACCCCAGCCACAGACCTGTGCCGGCTCGTACTACTGCCCTCGGATTTCGAGTCCCTCGAAGTACGTGTTTGCGGGCCACATGTGTGCGTGTGTGCGTGTGCGTGTGCGTGTGCGTGTGCGTGTGGGTGTGCGTGTGCGTGTGCGTGTGCGTGTGTGTGTGTGTGTGTGCGTGTGCGTGTGCGTGTGCGTGTGTGTGCATCGCCTTCGACGTTCTCCACCCGCTTATCCGCCCTTGTGATCCAGTCATCTCATGCCTTATCACCATCTCTTGACATTCATGTCGTGTGTGTGTGTGTATGTGTGTGTTGCTGTGGGATTTGCAGGCGGAACCTATGGTGTTCTTTCTCGGGTATCGGGACTGGCAGCAGCCTGACCAGCATGTCGATATCCACCTCCCGTTTTGTGGGCTGGTCACGCAAGTACGCTGCACCTTCAAGGATCTCCTGCAAGCAGAGACCTCGCCGCAATGGCTGACGTAAGTGATTTGCGATGCGAATCGGCTCGTGGCATGGTTGGCTCATAATGCGACCTCTTCACTGGCATCATGCTGCCAATCGTCATGTCATCAAAAGACTCAAGCGCGTATGGTGCACTCTCTACACACTGGAAAGCACACTCTCCCATTGCGCATTGCGCATTGCGCATCCGTACTCACACATACACACATACACACACACACGCACGCACACCTCTCACACACACGCACACACACACCTCACACACACACGCACACACACCTCGCGCACACACACGCACACTGCCTGTCGTATTTCCCCACTTCTCCCAACGTGCATTGTGCAGGGCCGAGTGGGCCGTGTTTGAGGACAGGCGCGGTGCACAGCAGTACTACAAACGAGCTTGGCGCACCTTGTCCAACAATCCTCCCGTAGACCCTGACGACGACACGCCAGGCAGCGCAAACGCATACAACCACTTTACATTCCCGCCAGCAGACCCATTTGTGGCCGGGGAGCAGTGTCGCGTGTTCCAATGTGCGTCACTGTTCCGCACTCTAGTCCTCCCTTGATGCGATGATGTGTTCACGTGTGTGATGGAGACGATGGTGTATATTCCGTGAGATCTTCACGGACAATGCTCACCAACGTCCTATGTCGTCATCTCATCCCATGTGCCGTTGAGGGTGGGTAGGTTCGTCCCCTGTATCCTTGCGAAGCCTTGGGCGCGTGGTGTTCAACGCTGTCATCATCGTCAATGTGCAGGTTGAAAACGTTGTTCTCAAACTCTATTGTGCGGACATAACGGCTTCGGTATGTAATGTGGTGTGTGTGTGTGTGTGCATGCTGGCTGTGTGTGTGTGTGTGTGTGTGTGTTGGCTGTGTGTGTTGGCTGTTTGTGTTGGCTGTTTGTGTTGGTTGTGGCTGTGGCTGTGGCTGTGGCTGTGTGTGCGTGTCTGTGGCTGTGGCTGTCTCGCACTCGGCCTCGGCCTCAGCCTCTCCCTTCCTGTCACTCAAACGAACGTGGGCATCTGCTCGCATCTGTCCACACCTAATCCTGCCACCTTGCTTGCCGCGTCTCCCCCCGGGCTGTTGGTAGTGTGACGAGTTGAGGACACATGTTGAGCCAATCGTGCAGACAGCTGCGCAGCGCATGAGGTCTGTGGCGGTGCCAAATAGCCACACTCATCCGTGTGTTGGATGTGCGCACAGTGGTCCGTGTGTTGGATGTGCCATTGTGACTCAACTGCGTGTCAATCACTCAATGTTTCTTCTTCTTCTCCTTCTCCTTCTTCTCCTACTATCCTGCTTCTGTTTTCGTTCTGCTTCTGCCAATTCGTCTTATCCTGGCAGGATTTGGGCCAGGGACACGTCCATCGCTCGCTCGCTCAAAGCGGTGCCGCCCTACATTCAACTCCATCGACAACAGCTATTCGGTACGCCGTCGTGTCGTCACATCACACACACAACCACATTTGCACACACACACACACACATATGCGCGCAAGGATTTGCATGTGCATGCTCACCTTCCTTTTGTGTTATTTTCACTAATGCCAAACGTGTTCGCTTGCATGCTTGTTGCCTGCTGCATTGGCAGCTGCTTGGCAGGAACTGGTAGAGAAATGGAACAGCACCACGTTTCGTAGCAAGTTTCCAATTGCTTCTGCTCGTGATGCACACGTGTGTGCACACTGCAAGCGCACGTTATCGAGACCACTGGTTTGCAGCGGCTGTCGCGAAGTTGCGTGTAAGTTGAACCATCCAGCTTTGGTAGGGAGTACGTGTGTTTGTGTATGTGCGTATGCGTGCGTGTGTGTGCGTGCGTGCGTGCGTGTGCGTGTTTGCGTATGTGTATGTGTTTGTGTATGTGTATGTGTATGTGTGTTTGTGTATGTGCGTGTGTGTGCGTGTGTGTGCGTGTATGTTTGTGTGTGTGCTGCTGACATGTCATGTGCCCGCTTTGTGCTTGGTCTTTCTTTTTGAATCATGGGTGCAGATTGCAGTGGCGGGTGTCAGCGGCGCCACTGGGCAGTTCACAAGCAGTCATGCACGCGCTGCTTTGACGTGTGGAAGAAAGGCGCGGAACTGTACTGCAAGGCACGTGTGCAACCCAAGAGCCTGCCATCGTTTCGCTGACACTGCCCCGCTGTGTGTGCGTGTGTGCGTGTGTGTGTGTGCGTGCGTGCGTGCGTGTGTGTGTGTGTGTGGTTTACATCGTGTGAAGCATGTGCGTGGCTGGCTGGGCTGGCGATAATCAACAATGGTTCACTGTTTTGCTGTTATTTGGCTGTGATGTGACCACGGTGTGATGACTAAGGGACATAAAAGCAATGACAAACAACAGCGGTGCGCTTGTAGCTGGATTAAGGTTTTACTGGGCAGGCGTGTTCTGCCGTCCACACTTTCAGCTTTGGGCCCAGGTCTGTCCAAATGGTCCGGGCGTTGTTTTCGTTTTCTGTGGAGTTCCACGGGCGAAGCAAGGGCACAACAACAACAAGTGTTGAGAACGACTACGGCTGCATATGCGGAGCTGCATGCACGGAACGTGTCAAAGTGCGCGCACGGTGCACCAGTGTGCTGTGTGCCGAGGCAGTCGCACCTTGAGCTTCGAGAGTAGGAGCAATGTCGACAAGAGGCGCAATCGAGGGGCGCCCGTGTGCGCATTGAAATGGTAGCTGTAACAGCACAACAGCAAGCACACAAACAGCAAGCCCAGCCCTTGTCAGCTACAAGGCGTTCCAGCACATCATAGCTCAACCCTCAACAAACAACGTAAGACAGGCACCCACAATGAAAGCGCGGACACGGGCATGTACACAGCCAGGCTAGACAGAAGGCGCGTGTACAAGACTTGCGCACACACATTCACGCAGGCACTGCGCGCGCTCACTTCCTCTCACTTCCTCTCACTGACACACACACACACTCTCTCTCGCACACACGCACACACACAAACACTCACACACACACACAAACACTCACACACACACACTCTAGCACACACACACACACACACACACTCACTCACTCTCTCTCTCTCCCATGCCCTGCAGGGACACAAGGAACAAGAATCCACCATACTTTGCAGCTGGCAAGGTCCGAGAGAATATCCTGGCATTGTGCTATCGATAGCTCGTCTCCAAACTTGATTGCGCCATGACACGCCCTCGTGTTGAGAATGTCCTGTAATGTGGGAGGTATGCTCCAGCGTTTCCGACCTGTGTCAGCAGTGCAAAGAAACGCACACACGAACAATGAGGCGTTGAACGGCAACGTCTGATGCTTGACGCACACGCGCCGCGCAGTCGAGAGCCTTGGCCAGACTGGAAGAACATTATCACCTTGGTTTTGTCGCACGTGTGTTATCTCGTCTTCAATGAGCTCCTCCACCGTGCTCTGGTTCACAAGAAGACGTTGCCTGCGCGTGCCAATCCACAGGCTCGATGAGTCTTGGAGTAGAGGTGAACGTTCAATCAACCCACGGCTCAACGAAGCGGTCTCAGTACACCAACGACGTTAGATCGCACACAGACACACAGGCCCAAACACAGGCACAGACACAGACACCCACACACTCACACGCAGAGACACACAGACACAGACACAGATACAGACACAGACACAGATACAGACACACCCACACACAAACACCCACACACACAATCACGCACACAAACAGACACACAATCACGCACACAAACAGACACACAATCACGCACACACAATGCACCTGGTGCCCGAAGCGTCCACAAGCGCACCAGGAAGGTGCGTCACGCGCACGCATGTGGGCCCTACAAATAACACAAACGAGGCATTGGTTGAGCTGATGTGACATGACGTCCAAAGCAAACGGGTTTGGGGGGATGAGTTGAGCTCGCATGCTCACCTGTGCGCACGAGGTGAATACCCCAGGCCTTTATGGCTGTCGCGTATTGCTCAGCAGCACTCGCGTCGCCCTCAGCCAAGGAAAGCTCCCACGGGGCATCCAGCTCACACACGTGGGTTGCACGGACGGGACTGCCGAGGCGAAAGTGCTCCTGTTCACGCGTCGAGCAGAAGGAAAAAGGGGGGGGGGGCGGACGAGTGACAATGAGCAGTCGCACCTTGCCAGTCGCATGCACACGCGAGCGCAGATTCGCCAGACAGACACACAAGTCCTTGACGTACATGTTCGAGGCGCTCCAAACGGATGCGTTCGTGGGCGGCATGCTGGTCAATGAGGACAATCACAGAGTCTGCCTCTTGCTCACGCCGGAACAGACACGCGATGAACTTGTTGTCGACTTGGCCCAGCACCTGCACAGTGTTCACCATGGCAGTGGCACCGGCAGGGTCAGTGGCGGGTTCGTGTGCGTCAAGTGGTTCAGGGCGACGTCTCGTGAACACAAGATGGGCATTAGCAGGGCGAGCACTGTCACCTGAAAGTCACGGAAGGCTGTGTTGTCAAACCGCTGGGCATGTGTTGTGCTCAGGCCACGGCGTTCCCTGGTCAAGCAAACAACGTACGATGCATGAGCACTGTCTCACTTGACCACATCCATCTTGAGTGCAAACAAGCGCACAAAGCAGCGAACCACACAAACAAGAAATGAACCACATAAATAAGAACATAACCGCACATCAAATTAAGCAACCAAGCGTGCGCCACGCAACGGGTACGAGCCCACACCGGATTGCTCGGAGAGATGCGATGGGATCTTGGTACGGTTCTGTTGTCTCCATATCCCATCTGCGTACTGGTTGACACATAGAGTCGAGGGTGGAGCAACAAGATGCACGAGAGAACAGTGAACACGGTCACAAGCAAGCAAGCAAGCAAGCAAGCAAGCACTTACAAGCCTCGGTTTTCCACTGTCATGCGCCAAGAAGGAAAGGGGGCAAGGTGAGTGTATTTCACGGCGCATTGTTAGGGTTTTCCCGCATCAGCACAGCAGTCCACACCACACCAAACTGGCACGCGTACACACACAGACACACACACACAGACACACACACACACAGACACACACACATACACACACACAGACAGACACACACACACACAGATAGACACACACACACACACACCTTGTTGACTTCAGCCTCGACATCTTCATGGCCACGTGTGCGGGGACGAAGGGAGTGGGCTGCCACAGCCCTCGTCTGTGGGCGGCGGGGAGAGGGCGGTGGTGATGTGCGATCGGCGCGTGTGTGGTTGTGTTTCAGTTGTGACCCATCACAGCCGTTGTGCCCAGTTACGTCGCCACCACTCCCACCAACTCCTGCAACAGCGGTCGTGTGCGCATTGGCGGCGGGGGGAGAGGCAACGTGGCGGCGCAGAAACAGCCGCAACTTGGATGCCCTGGAAGGCAGACGTGCTGCTGCATCTGGTGGTGCTAGTTGCGATTCACTGGCGAGCTGTGCCTCCGCATCGTGCTCGTCGTCGTCGTCATCATCACAAGAGTTGAGGTTGCCGTGGGTGGTGGTGACATCAGTGGTGTGATTGGCGGTGGTGTGAGGGAGCTGTGTACTGCTGTTCCGGCTGTGGGCAGAATGATTCGACACACATGCCACGGTTGAACACTCACAACACCCTTGTTGTTGTTGTTGTTGTTGTTGTTGTTGTTGTTGTTGTTGTTGTTGTTGTTGTTGTTGTTGTTGTTGTTGGGCTGATCTGCTGTGCGAAACATCATCTTGATCAAGGGTTGAGGGTATGCTCATGCTATGGACTGCGGGCGCTGAGCCGTGTCGTCGACGCGGTGTCAGCCGAGCAGCGGTAATGCCACTGCTGCGAATGTTGGCATTGTTTTCGCGGGTGAAGGGCGTCACGGCGTGTGCGACCACTGACGGCGTTGCTGCTCGTGCTGATGAGATGGCACTGGAGCGAGCTGGCGCCGAGTGCATGGCCTCATCATTGCTCCGTTCAAATCGAGACAGCGACGACGACAGTACCACCTGCGCCAACACACACACACACACACACACACACACAATAATGCACGCACATGCAGGCAAGCAGCGGTCAGTTACCACGTGGACGCAGCTCAGTGTTGTTCGTTTGCTTCACGGCCAAAGTGAAGGGAAGAAGGGGCATGCACGAGCGAACACGTGTACTCACACGACACCCAAGCAAGCAGGCAAGGCAAAACAACACACACAAACAAAGAGCCCCAAGCGAAAAAACAGAGAGCAACACGCGTTCCTGACCATGGCGGACGAAGAAGTGAGTGGGGTTGTTGCAGTTGTAGCTGTCGCCGTCGCTGCTGCAGGACCACGGGCCGCAAGTTCCGGCAGCGTCATCTGATACGGGGTTGGGTCGACAAGCAGGTCGTGTTTTGCCAGGAACGCGCGCACGGCGCGCTTGATGAGCTCGCGCACTGCATGTTCGTCCTCGAAGCTGACGAGGGACTTGGTTGGCTCGTGCGTGACGTCCACCTGGTCTGCAGGCAGCACAATGTTGAGCACAAAGATGGCGTGGCGGTTGCGCTTCTTCCGCTTGAACGGGTTCCCTGCACAGCAGCACATCTCAGGGCAAGTTGAGCGTTGAGGTTGACTGTAAGTTGGCGCGTGTGTGGATGTACATGCGCCAGCGCAGATGTGAGGACAGGTGTGTGTGTGTGTGTGTGTGTGTGTGTGTGTGTGTGTGTGTGTGTGTGTGTGTGTGTGTGTGTGTGTGTGTGTGTGTGTGTGTGTGTGTGGGTTTTGGGCTTTGTACGTGGGAGTAAAGCTTTGATGGATGGCACGGGAACCTTGGCTTGTGGTTGTTGGGTCCTCAGCCAGGATGATGGAGTTGAGGAGCTGTGAGATGACGACCTGATGCAAGAAGCAGCGTCGCACCGGGCGCTTGTTCACAAACACAAACTGAACGACAGTGGGTCCATGCCGCGCGTGTGTGCGTGTGTGTGCGTGTGTGTGCATGTGTGTGCATGTGCGTGCGTGTGTGTGTTGGGGGGGGGGGGTTTATACGTGTGCGCGTGAGGTGTTGTGAGAGTGGATCCTATCACGTGCAAGTTGAGTGTACACGCAAACCCACGCAGACAGACAGACAGACAGACACACATGCACGCACACAGACATAAGCACACACATGCATGCACGCACAACCTGCAGGTCGGGGGCGTAGTAAACACCGGTACTGATGTATCCCTCGACGACACGCGCTGCGTCAATGTGGTTGAGGGAAATGAGGTGACGGCTCTTGTCGTTGCCAAAGAGACGGCCAAAGACACCGCGCGTGGACACGGCCCCACTCGAGTTAACGTGCTTGTGACCGGTCTGGGTGTCCGTGAGAGTGAGGGCAAGCTTGGGCAGCATCAGCGCCAGCGCACCCATCTTGTGCTTGATGCGGTCCATATCAGCAGGGCCCAGCCGCTGGCGGCGAACCGGGAGGTTGTAAAACAGGTCGGTGACTGTCACACACGTGCCTGCCTCCCGCAGCTCTGATCCCGCACGGCCCTTGGCAATGACTGCGCCACCTTTGATGATCTTGCACAGGGTGGTTGGCTCTTCCGCCTTGCGCGTCTCGATGGTCAGCACGCTGATGGCAGCGAGCGCGGCCAGTGCCTCTCCTCTGAACCCGTACGTCTGCGCGTGCGTGTGTGCGTGTGTGCGTGTGTGTGTGCGTGCGTGCGTGTGTGTGTGTGTGTGTGTGTGTGTGTGTGTGTGTGTGTGTGTGTGTGTGTGTGTGTGTGTGTGTGTGTGTGTGTGTGTGTGTGTGTGTGTGTGTGTGTGTGTGTGTGTGTGTGTGTGTGCGTGCGTGTGTGTGCGTGTTTGTGCGCGTGTGCGTGCGTGCGTGCGTGCGTGTGTGTGTGTGCATGCTGTGAACGGGTTGGCCTCCACGGTGTGTGCTGTTGTAGCCTCGCCCTCACCACCTACTTCTGTCAACAACGCACATGTGTGCGCTTGGTGCAGTGTGCCAGCTCGGTTGACTTTGAGACGGCAGAGCCGATTCCAAACCCATTTTACCACCAGACGCTGCTGGATGCGCTGCCCCAGCGACTGGCAAGCGAGCAGCAGCTTCGCTCCTACATGAAGCTCGCGCAGTCCAGACTGCAAGAGCTGTACGACAAGGCCAAGGACATGTCTCGTGAAGAGTTCCAGCAGCAGCTCTGGGCGCTGCGCGAGCGCATCAACCTCGACTCGCAGGTCACTTCTGGTCACCCCCGTCCCTATCACACACGCACATACACATACAAGCACATGCACATGCACATACATATACGCACACGCACACACGCACACACACACACACATGTGTTCACTTGAAGCGGTGGTGTCCACACTGACTTGACCACTTTCACTTGCCACTTCAGATTATCATCTACGGAACTGCAGAGCGACATGCACGCCAGAAGTATCTGGGTGAGTGAGTGCCTTTGTTCATGTGGCTGGCTGAGGCGTGCACCTGTTTCCAATGCAGCTCATCTTCACATCTGTGTGTGTGTATGCGTATGTGTTTGGCGGGGCATTTGTAGCAAAGTACGGATGTGCACGCTGGACCGAGGATGCGCTCAACACCATTGCCTCCTTCTCTCCCTTGATTGAAATCGGCGCTGGCCAAGGCATGTGATTGTGATGGTGACAGGTCATTGCTCTGCATGCGCAACTGCTGCGTGTGATTCACCCCTCTCATGTCCGCACACACACACACACATTCACACACACACACACACTCACTCACACACACACACACACACACACACACACACACACACACACACACACACACACACACACACACTCCCGTAGGTCACTGGGCAAAGGCGTTGCGGAAGCTTGGCGTCGACGTCATGGCGTTTGACAACGACTCAACAGAGCAGCCGGGAACTGCACCCGTGTCGCAGGTGCGGCCGGGCGACCACACCAAGATTGGCTGGTACCCTCGGCGTACGCTGTTGCTCGTGTACCCACCAGAGACGGATATGGCTCTGCAGTGTGCGCAGGAGTTTCGCGGCAACTACCTCATCTACGTGGGGGAAGCGCGCGGAGGCGTGAATGCAAACGACGCCTTCTTCAACCACGTGGATGAACAGTTTGACTGCGTGCATATCCAAGACCTCGACCCGTTCCCCAGGTGCCACGAGCGCTTGTATGTCCTGCGTCGCAAGCCAGAACACCGAACAGCTCAGCCGTGGTGGGCGCCCCTCTCGTTTCTCTGGTGACCAGCACACCTGTGCTCAAGGCTTGAGAGCGTACCGCGGCGAAGTGGGTGTCGTGTTTTCAGTCTTTGTGTCAAGGAACAGTGGGCTGTGTTGATGTGGCATGCCTTGGAGTGACATGGTGCTGTTGCCATTGCGTGTCGTTGTTGCTGTGTGTTCTTGCACAATCAACTGTAGGCATTGCATCCAATACAGCTGTACATACTGCATTCTTGTGGACAGCCACATCAAAGTACACCAGCACACACCGTGCCCAGGTCACGCAAGGTCAATTAGCATAGCAATCTACTGGGTTGTGAAACCACTGCCTATCGACACATCAAAAAACGCAAGCATCAACTTCACAAACACTGACCTCACCAGCAGCGGTAGCAGTCTCAGGTGTAGCAGTAACCGTGCGAGCAGTAAGATGATGATGCCCACAAACACACAGACACACACACAGACACACACACACACACACACACACACAGACACAGACACAGACACACACCCCCACACACAGACACACACAACACATGAAAGAAAAGGCACATTATTGTTGTTGTTGGACGATGCGCGCGAGGCGGCCGTGGTCAAGCTCAATGACACGGTGGCAGTGCTGCAGCGTGTTCGTGCGGTGCGCAATGGTCAGCACCGTGCACGCCGTAAAGTTGTCTCGAATCGTCTGCTGCACCAGCTCATCCGTGTGTGCGTCCACGTTTGCCGTGGCCTCGTCAATGCACAGCACGCGGCATCCGCGCAGCAGCGCCCGCGCAAGACACAGCAGCTGGCGCTCCCCTGCACTCATGTTGCGCCCCTGCTCCTCCACCTCGTCGTCAAGCGAGCCCACACGCCGTGCAAGGCAGCACTTGTCAAGCACGCCCAGCAGCGTGGCGTCTGCATGCTGCCCAAAGGGGTCGAGATTGCTGCGGATTGTGCCGCTGAACATGACCGGGTCCTGTGGAATCACAGCTATGCTCTCCCGCAGCCGCTGCCGCCCCACGTGCGCAATGTCCACACCATCCATGCTGATGCGTCCGCTGTACGCCACCATCCGCAGCAGCGCCCGGAACAGCGTCGACTTGCCAGACCCGGTCCGCCCACAGATGCCCACCTTCTCGCCCCCGCCCACGCGCAGCGAGAAGTCCTGCAGCGCCATCGCGTGGTCGCGCCGGTACCGCACGCTCACGTGTGAGAACTCAATGCACCCGCGCTGCGGCCACGAATCTGGCAACGCAACCAACAGTTTCCTGTGCCCGCTGCTGCTGCTGCTGCTGTTGCCAGTACCACCAGACCCACGTGCCTGCGGCAGCAGGGCTTTCCTGTGGTCGTCCCCGCCTTGCTCTGTGTCATCATCGTCATCATCATCTTCTTCTTCCTGCGGTGTATGGATAAACGCATCACACCGCTCCACACACACCATCTCCTTCTCCGTCTCTGTGAACGCTGTGACCAGCCCCTGCAGCACGCCCGTCACAGAGAGCGCATACGAGATGGCCAGGCCTGCCAGCCCCGGATTTGCGCCCCCGCTGTGGTGCTGTGCCGCCGCCAGAAACGACACCCCCGCCAGCATGCCCACGCCCAGCACCTGCAGCCGCACGCTCAGCCATTGCGACACAACTTGCTCGTTGTATGACGCAATCTGGTTTGCGTCCATGCGCGAGACATTTTCCAGCTCAAACTGCCGCACCATGTGCATTGCACGCACGCTCACCACCCCGGTGAGCGACTCGGAGAAGTGGGCGTAGATTGGAGAGCGCGCAATGTTGCCAAGCCGCTTCACCTCACGTGACGTCTTGCGGTAGTAGCGCTGGATGCGGTAGTACAGCACAGAGAGCGGGAGCAGCAGGAACAGGAAGTAGGGCTGGCTGTAGCACATGACCGCCACCGTGCCCAGCAGCCCAAACAGCTGCGCCAGGAGGATGTTGGCGATGAAGGGCAGCGAGTCGTCGACAGAGTTGATGTCGGACGAAAACCGGTTCACAATACGCCCCACCGGATTTCTGTCGAAGAAGGAGATGTGCGCGCCAAACACGCGGTGCAGTAGGCGCCTGTGGATGGTGCGTGCAGCCACCACGCCCGCGTACGCAAACAGGAATGCGCGCACGAGCGTAAACGCTGTGTTGCCGAGCGAAATAAACCCGTAAATCTCAAGGTACTGGCGCGCATCGCTGCTGCTGTTGCGGTCGGCGTGGGTGACCCAGTTGCTCAGCCACCAGTCAGAGACGTTCTTGGAGCCCTGCATCAGCGTCATGGCCACCAACACCCCAGCCGCCAGGACGCCGCCAATGGCACGCACGTACGACGCGTACACGGCCAGGCGCACCGTGCCCACCACGCGATCCTCCTCAGCAAGCAGCTGCCCCTCGTCCTGCTGCTGCGGCGACGATGAAGTCGACCCACGGGCTCTCCCTTTGCGACTGCTGCGCTGCAGTGCGCCACGCACCTCAGCCATGGGAGGTCCCTCACCATCATCATAATCGTTGTCATCATCATCGCCATCGGCACCAGTATGGTCGTCATCGTTGTTGTCATCATCATCGCCATCGGCACGACCATCATCATCATCACCATCACCATCACCATGGACATTGCCGTGGTGACCATCGTCGTGCTGCTGCTGCTGTTGGTACTCGGCCGTTGCATCTGCCAGGTGACCATCCTCCACCCGCACAACGCGTGGTGCCGAGGCGAGCGCATCCCTGTTCTCCGTGCACAGCACACGAGCGCTGGCTGCCATCACACCGCAGATGCAGTGCTGCAGCACGTGGCGTGCTGTTGGCCTGTCCAGCGCCGCCAGCGGGCTGTCGAGCAGGTACAGCGGCAGCTGCTGGTATGCAGCCCTCGCCAGCCCAATGCGCGCCCTCTGCCCGCCGCTCAGGTTGATGCCGTTCTCTCCAAGCTCGGCGCCGTCGCCGCCTTTGATGAACTGCAGGTCGTCCTCGAGCGCGCACGCGTGCAGGATGCGGTCGTACAGATGGCGGTGCATGGGCCGCCCGCACAGGATGTTGTCGCGGATGGTGGCGTTTCGGATCCAGGGCTCCTGGGGCACATACCCAATGCCTCGCTCTTGCACAGCCGAAGACACCAGCACCTGCCCGCGCGTGGGCGCAAGCTCACCAAGCATGCCAAGCAGCAACATGGTCTTGCCGCTGCCCACAGCTCCGGTCAAGCACACCCATTCCGTCTGGCGCAGGTCGAAGCTGACCCCGCGCAGGACACAGAAGTACGCTGCACTCCCCGCGCTTGCGCTGGTACCGCCGTTGCTTGCATGCAACTTGTTCCGTGCTTGGTCCTGCCACGAGAAGTAGGCGTCGTGCAATGACACCGCAACACCAGCGGCAGCGTTGGGCGTTGCTGGAGATTGGCGCACAGCCAATGCAGATGACGAAGACGCTGAGGATGACAGTGAGGCAGGTCGGGCTGCCCTTCGTGTTGTTGTTGCTGCTGCTGCTGCTGCTGTTGCCGTTACTGTTCCTGTTGCGGCTGGTGATGGCGTGGAGGGTGTGTCTGGGGCCCAGTTAGCTGCGTGTGCGGCCGCCTTCTGCACGGATCCAAAGGTGTATCTGAGGCGGAGGTAGCTTTCCACGCGGTCAAGCGACACCCACGCCTCCACAAGCCCGTTCAGCACCCAGGGGAACGCATTGAGCGGGCCGATGAGGGTGTTGAACAGCGCCATGCTGGTGAACACGGTGGCGGCGGTGAGCCGGTGCCCGAGCAGCGAATACGTGGCAAACGTGCTAATGGAGATGAGCACAGGGGTTGTTGCCCACAGGTACACGCACACGGCATCGAGGTACTTGCGGCCGCGCAGGGCCTTTAGTTCGCGCTCACGAATGGTGTTGATCTTCTCCTCAAACAGATGCGCCCACGCGTACATGCGCACGACGCGAATCGCGCTGACCACCTCGCCCGTGAGCTTCACGCGCTCGTCCTTGTTGTGCATGAGGTCTTTGCCGAGGGCGCCGATGCGTTTGGCGACAGCGCGGTTGAGCGGGATCATGACAAGGGCAAAGCACAGGCCGGCGAGGAAGGACACGCCAACCTGCTGATACAACAGGTACAGCGACACTGCAATCTGGAACGGCAGGCTCCAAAACTGGTGGAAGCTGCGTGCGTGTTTGATGACGGGATGGATGAGGACAACAAATGGGAAGTACGAACAAACAAGGCGAGGCGATTCATGAACCGTGTGTGCATGTGTGCAGGCATTTGTGTATGTGTATTGTGTGTGGTTTCACACTCTGGGCGTGTCTCCAGCAGAGCAACAACAACAACAGCAACAACAACAACAACAGCAACCACAACAACAACAACAACAACAACAACAACAACAACAACAACAACAACAACAACAACAACAACAACAACAACAACAACAACAACAACAACAACAACAACAACAACAACAACAGCAACCACAACAACAACAACAACAACAACAGCAACCACAACAACAACAACAACAACAACAGCAACCACAACAACAACAACAACAACAACAACAACAACAACAACAACAACAATGACAAGTGTTGACAGCATGTGTCGCAACTGCGTGGGATCGAGATCTGCACACCTTGGGCAGAAGTTGGCGAGCCTGTCTGCATCTGTGCTCATGAGATTCATGACACCACCAACAGTGGACAGCGAGCGTTGCTGCTCGTCTTGCTTCTTGGTCTTCTTGGTCTTTTCTCTGGTTTCCTCATCCTTCTCATCCTTCCCATCGCTGTCTGCACCGGCATCTTTGCGCTGCAGGATGGTTGGTGATCGGGTGGTGTGAGAAGCATGACAATGGCGGCACAACAGGCAGATACGTGGAAACGGAGCGTCAATCCGCAGTTGGAGACCACTGGAAGGAAGAGAAGGAAGAGAAGGAAGGGGAGGGAGGTGCCGAGGCAGAGACAGAGACAGAGGGCGGGGCTCGTAGAAGCCCCCGCACACCTTCACGCACCCACACTCCAAGCCCAGACCAAGCCGGAGCAAGCGCGTGTGGGGTATGCACACACCTTTTCGCCGACACGTGAGCGAAGCGCCTTGCGATAGACGGTGGAGGTGACAGCGGCACGAACAGCAACCTGCGTCTTGTTCACCTGGAACGTGTAGTGGATGTTGCAGAAGCTGCCAAAGGCCGTGCACAGCACCAACAGGCCTGCAAAACAGTGGCGTCGAGGTGGAGTGGCCACATGCCACGTGGGGGTGAGCTGCATGCGGAAGCAAGATGGAGTTGCTGAACCGTCTCATCTCTGCATGTGTGCGTATGTGCCGCGAACGTGTTGCGTTACCTGCATACATGTATCCTTTCGAATAGTCTGGACTTTCCTCGTCAATCAGTTGCACCTGAAGGGAGAGGGGTGATGGGGGGTTGGTTGTGCGGGCGCTCGTTTGTGAGCACATACGAGCCCGCACACGTTCACACGCAACACATACACACACAACACACACACACACACACACACACACGCACGCACAGACACACACACACAGACACACACAGACACACACAGACACACACACACACACGCACACACGCACAGACACACAGACGCGCGCGCGCGCACCAGTTCATGAAGGAGGAGCGGTCCTGCAAAACCGGCGGCATCTGCCAGCACTTTGAGGACAGCAAGCGGATAATATCGCCACCCATAGCACCTGATATGAACAGGCCGTGAGAGGGGCAACGGCCCTGGCGGTCAGAAGTGTATTCTCTTTGGTTGGGACAGCACCACAGCACACACACACAGTTGTCACACGCGCACACTCAGACACACACTCAGACACCCCCCCACCCCCCCCCACACACACACGCACACTCAGACACAGACACAGACACAGACACACAATACACACACACACACACACACACACACACACACACACACACACACACACACACACACACAGAGACACAGACACACACGCACACACTCGTACACGCACCCGCGTACCTGTTGAATGCTCTGAGCACAAAGTGCTTGTCCGAATGTGATTGGCGGAGAGCAAACACGTGTGAAGAGAACGCATCACAGAGCGCCTGAGTGTTCAGGTGATCTGGCATCCCAAACAAGTCTTCAGACTGCAGCTTGTCGCACTACATCATGCGTAATGATGAGGACACGTGCGTCCGAGTGGAAGTGCGTGAAAATAGGTGAGTGCGTGTGCGTGCAAGAGCGGGTGTGGGAAAGAGAAGAATGAAAGACGAGGTCAATGCACACGTGTGTGTGTGGGTACAGCAAACGCACCAAGTAGCCAAAGTGGAGGAGCGGGTCAACCCACTGGAAGACAAGCTTGGAGAAGACAGCTGCATCACAACAGATGATGGGCACAATCAGGTGGTGGTGGTGGTGGTGGTGGTGGTGGTGGTGCAGTGAGCGCCGCACGATATAGCATGGTTGGGAAAGCATGATGCACACACACGCACGCACACACACACACACATGCACGCACACGAGACGCACATGCGCTTGTCTCCTGCGGTTTGGCGCGTGCATTTGATGTGAGGCGATTGACGCTGTTGTACTTGAACAGGTCGTCTCGCTGCCACGCGGCGCTGCCAGAGGTGGACAGCAGGGGTGTGGCCTCGTGTGCGGTGTGGAACGCGCCGTCGTCGTCTTGGATGCTCACGCCAGTGCGGCGCACGCGAACAGGCGGTCGAAGGAAGCACGCGCGCATGGGCACGCACAGCGACACCAACATGATCAGCGTGTGCAGGAAGAAGGTGCCAATCTGCGCAAGCTCGCCGATGGTGTGTGCTGATGTGAGCTGGGGATGCGCTTGCGCCAGAATCGTCCATAGGCGGTATGCCCCAGCGCCTGTGCGAGTGAGTGAGTGTACATGATTGTGTGTGAGTGCACGTGTGTGAGAGCGTGCGGGATTACAAGTGTGTGAGTTGGAAAAGGTACAGGGCGGCAATAAGTTGCTGTCGCGCGCGCGTGTGTGTGTGTGTGTGACATCGTTGTGGGCACCTGTGAGCAAGAGGCCGGTTAGGCGCATGCTGATGGGCGCGCGTTGAACGCCGCGAGAGCTGCTGGCAGCATGTGCGAGCCTGGCCCTCAGCTGGGCGTCTGGGTATTGCTCCAAGACGGAAGCGTACAGGAGCCATGCCACGGCATTGAGGGCCGTAAACAAGATCCATGCAGCATGCTGCAGGTTGAGCGCAACCACCTGCACAATTGGCATGGCGACGCAAGCAACGCACGCGAGCAGCTCCACGTTGCGCAGCCATGCCCCGCGCCAAACACCTGCATGCGGTGCGCGGCGAAACACACGGTTTGGGCGTGTGAGTGCACCAGTGTGTGCTTGAGTAGTTTGTACTTGTGTGTTTGAGGTAGTGCGCTTGGCGTGCACACGACTATCAGCGTCGCAAGCACTGCCTCACACACACGCTCGCGTACTCACAGAGCGGCTTGGGGATTTGCTTGTTGTAGCGGTGGGCGCGCTTCCTCACAATGACCAAAGTTGCTAGGGCGGCCACAGCGACGATGAGCGCGGCTCCAGAGTAGACCACCAGATCCTGGAAGCATGACCCGAGCACAGCGCCAGACTCCACCACCGCCGCCGCCGGAGGCGCGTGTGCTGTTGTTGCGTTGGCTTCCGCCGCGCACCAGCCCTCCCACCTCATCAACGACCTCATCTCGCCGAAAGCCTGTGGAAAACACCCACCAATGTTCAGTAACTGTTGTTGTGTTGTGATGGTGTGTGTGTGTGTGTGTGTGTGTGTGTGTGTGTGTGTGTGTGATGGTGTGTGTGTGTGTGTGTGTGTGTGTGTGTGTCGTTGTGTGTCCGTGTCGTCGTGTGGTCAGCAGTAACCATAAACATAGACCTTCCTTGATCCTTATTGAACAACGCCGTCTAAGGCGCAGACAAAATTGATAAACGCGCATACATTCCACTAGTAGAAGGACGACATGGATGAAGTTTATCATTTAGTAAGACAATATCTTACAATTTGAGTAGTTGCTGCCGGCGCGGTCCTGCACCTTCGTCAGAGTTAAAGGGAAAGTCAGTCGAGGTTAGAAACGTAGTCAGTAGTTCATTTAGTTAGGACTACAGCAAACAGAAATTCTGCGTTCGTAATCTTGTCTACACCGGCTCCACTCTGACATCCGGACAAGAATACAGTGCCTGGGTCCAGCTTGCGTCTGTGTGTGTGTGTCGTCTGTCGGTGTGTGTGTGTGTGTGTGTGTGTGTGTGTGTGTGTGTGTGTGGAGAATAGGGACGCTGGTGGTGGTGACAGTGCTGCTCTTGTTGCTATTGCCAGTGTTGCTGATGGCAGAGAGCCATGTGAAGCGACCCAAAGCATGGTGAACGTGCACGGCGCAAAGAGAGGGATGGATTGTGTAACGCAGTGCATCAACAGGAATACAGTGCATTCAGGGCGGAGCTAGAGCGAAAGTACAAGCAGCGTTCAGAACAAACAGTGCCTGGAACATGCGAGCAACAGAAAGCGAACTCGACACACACACACACACGCACACGCACACGCACTCACACGCACACGCACGCACGCACGCACGCCCGCACACACACACACACACACACACACACACACACACACACACACACACACACACACACACACGCACTCAATCACTCAAACGCGTATCATACACAAGTCAGAGCTTTGATTGTGCGGTTGCAGGTGCTGGGTGTGCGAGGGCCTTGGCAAGAAAAGACAGCCAGAGCGGGCGTACACGCTCTGGTTCATTCATGTGCACGTGGTGCGACCCAGGCACGGTGTGTCGCTCAAAGTAGGCCGCAGAGCGGGACATGGCAATGAGGTGCTGGCGCGTTGCCTCCAGCTGGTACTTGACGCCGTCCTCCGCCAGAATCACGCATGTCGGGCAGCGCACGCCCTTCATAAACGCCTGCGTTTGCTCAAAGTTGAGCCGGGTTGCGGACACCTGGCGAATGGCCAGGTCGCGCGAGAACTGGTACCGCGGTTCACGCTCATCTTGGCCCTTCCGCCTGTCAGCACTGCTGGTGCTGGTGCTGCTTCTGCTACTCCTACTGCTGGTGGTTGCTGTATCAGGGTCGACAGGGCGCAATCCGCGATCCAGAAGCAAGCGCGCAGATGCCTCGGTCACGTGCGTGTTTGCTGTCAACAGCTTCTGCAGCGCATCCTCCAACGTCAAACCGCGCCCGTCCTGCGCTTTCTTCGCGTCAAGGGCCTCCCACGACTGAATCGCCTGGCGCAGATCCTCGCGTGCGGCACTGCTCTGCCCTTGTACAGGGACGGCGCCTGTTACGGGATGACGGGTGCGGTGTTCGTGAGACAAAGTAATCAAAATAGAAGACCAGCTGCAGGGAGCCAAAGAGGGGGGGGGGGGGAGGGGGGACGGCGTTGCCGGTGACAGCAAGTCATTGGACAAGCGAAATGGGAACGAACATGCAAGTGCGTTCACACACACGCACACATACACGAGCACACGCACGCACACATGCACACGCACGCACGCACACAGACACACAGACATACACGCACGCACACAAGCACACAAACTGACCTTCAATCAGGGTGAGAGAGTCGACCTTGTCTGGGAAGCAGCTGGCAAAGATGGAACATATGCCAGCGCCCATCGAGTGACCAACGAGGTGAACACGGTTCCAACCCAGCGCCTTCACTGCCCAGTGTACGTCGCGCACCCAATCCACCATCAGGTACGATGCGCCGCGCGGCTTGTGCGACGACCGGCCGTGCCCTGGCAGGTCGATGGCCACCACATTCAGGTCCTGGAGCAGGGGGTCGTCCACGCCACTGGAGTCAGGCATTGGCGGTGGCGTGAGTGCACCCGGCTGTTGTGCCGGGCGGTGGTGCCGGCGGGTGCTCCTGGGCTGCAGTAGTGGCACGAAGCTGTTGGCGTTGTCCAGCCATCCGTGTACTGCAAGCACGTTGGGCCCACTTCCTGGCCAGTGCAGGCCCTGCACCGTGCCCCACGGCACGCTCAGGCTCACCTCCACGGGCGTCTGCGTCGCAGCCGCAGCCACCGCCACCCCGCGCCTCCCAACAACAACAGCCGTCATCGCGTGTGCATGCAATGCAGTCCAGTGGTCTGCTTGCTTGCCTTGTGGTGTGTGTGCGTTGTTGATCTGACTTGCTTGCTTTCGTCGTGTTTGTTTGCTTGCTTTGTGTGCGCACTTTTCACCACACAACGCCAACGAGAAGCGACGAAGATGAATGGTGGCGTGGATGGTGGTGTGGGTCGCATTGCCACGCCTGGGCCCCGGATCAGGGGTTACGTGGCGTGGCTGAAGCGGTACAAGATGGCTGTGATGGCCGCATGGCTTGTGCTCCTCATCCTGGGCATCCTCTTTGTAAGTCAGCGCGACTGCGCTGTGTGTGTTGGGGTGGGGGGGGGGGCTTTCGAGCACACACACCAAATGTACTCTTGGGACGGCGGTGTCGTCTTTGTTGCCATTGTCGTTTGCTCACCATCCTGGCTTTGGTGCATGTCGTTGCGGCTGCAGGGCCCCAAGCTGCTGACCTCCACATCGCTGAACATCAACCCTCCAAGTGGCAGTCAGGCTGACATTGCACAGGTAACACAGACATGCGCAGGAAGGGCAGAGATCAAGCGTATCTGTGTGCGTGCGTGCGTGTGTGTGTGTGTGCTTGCGTGTGTGTGTGTGTGTGTGTGTGCGTGCGTGTGTGTGTGTGTGTGTGTGCTTGCGTGTGTGTGCACGTGGGCTCATGACTACCGCGATCCTGCTTGCGATCCTTGACACGCTGCGTCACACCACATACAGAAAGCGCTCAAGAAGGAGTTCCCAAGGCTGGGCCAGCTGTCCCCGATCATCTGCCTTGTCAAGAACCCAAACGGCAGCGTCATCACTGATGCCACGCGAGACTTTACCTTCGATCTCTACCACGCCGTCACAAACTTCACGTGCGTGTGTGTGCATGTGTGTGTGCGCGCGTGTGCTTGTGTGTGTGCGCGTGCGTGTGTGCATGTGTGTGTGTAACAAGTTCATTCCTCGAAGCAGTTGACACCCAGCCGCCATCTCTGCTCTGCGCCCACCCCACAGGCCGTCGTTGCTGCCGAAGAATGGCTTCACCAGCTACTACACGCTGGCTGCAACAAAGGGCCTCGGCCCCATCGCCAACAGCACCGTCTGCCGCAACTGTAACCGCACAGAGACCGTCATCTCCATGCAGGTGCACGCATGCATTTTAGAAACTGCATATCCGTGTGTGTGTGTGTGTGTGCGCGCATATCTGTATGCTTGCGGGCGTGCATGCGCCTTACGAACCGTGCCACACACATCGTCTTCAACACGTTTGCACACACACACACACACACACACACACACACACACACACACACACACACACACACACACACACACACACACACACACACACTGGCAGGTGGAAGTTCCATCCGCTGGGAACCTCCTCACCAGCTCAACCCGCAAGTTTGTCAGCTTTGTTCGCACCACCGTCAAGAATCTCACCGCAACACACCTTACACCAAAGGGCCTCGACGTACGGCACGCAGTGTGTGTGTGTGTGTGTGCGAGTGCGTGTGCGTGTGTGCGAGTGCGTGTGTGCGAGTGGTACTGAGGAAGGACTCAAGCCAAGACGCCCTGTAATGAGGCGTGAACGTCCGTGCATATACCTCCTTCTACACCTGTTGTTGCTCACTCTTTTCCACCCACCATTCACCCATGCTGCTTCCACGGGCGCAGGCGAAGCTGACGGGGACGCTGCTGTTTGCTGTTGATATCGAGAAAGGAACAGAGCGCGATCTTCTCCTCATGGATGGCATCGCCTTTCCCGTCGCCCTCGTCACACTCGCGTCCGTTTCAAGCGCCCAGCAACACGAGTGGTGGTGGTGGTGGTGGTGGTGATGGTGTATGGAGGCTGCCGGCTGTGGTGGTGGTGGTGTATGGAGGCTGCCGGTTGTCTATGCTTCTTCTGCCAGATCTGCAATCTTGTGCCTCTCAGAGAAGACGCGGCTGCGTTTGTGACATTGCGCTGCTCACACTCACATGCGCTTCACCCACCCTTCTTGCCTCCACGGGTTGCTGTTTCGCCGTGCAGATACGTGCTCAAGTCTGCGCGGCTGCTGATTCTGCCCGTGCTGTGCATGATTGCGTCAATTGTGACTGCGTTTATGTTCATGTATCCCGTAGCACTCAAGTATGACGTCATCTCCTTCACCCCGAGCATCATGATGAGCGGCACCATCGCCATGTCCATCGGTGCGCCCCTCCCGTCACACGTGTGTGTGTGTGTGTGTGTGTGTGTGTGTGTGTGTGTGTGTGTGTGTGTGTGTGTGTGTGTGTGTGTGTGTGTGTGCGCGTGTGTGTGTGTGTGCGCGTGTGTGTGTGTGTGCGCGTGTGTGTAGCCATTGCATGTCACACCAATCCACTCCTTCGTCTCTCACCCCATCATCGCCTCCTTGCCCCGACCCCAGACTACTCCCTGTTTCTGCTGTCGCGCTTCCGTGAAGAGCTGCAACTGGGCATGGATGTTGACGAGGCGGTGCTGTACATGCTGTGGACAGCAGGCCACACCATCTCCGTCTCAGGCACCACCCTCGCCGTCTGCTTCTTCGGCCTCATGTTCTTTCCAGGTGCCGCGCTCCGTGGTGGCTGCCGTGGTTGAAATTGTGGTGTCGGTGTCGATGTCGGTATTGGTGGTGGTGGTGGTGGTGTTGGTGTCGGTGTCTCGCTGCGTCATGTCATGGCACGACATCTGCTTATGTGCTTGATGGTGACCATGGCTTGTACCTGATGACTCTGCCGAAACCGCTTCACCCAATATACACATTTTTCATGCAAACACACACTCACATACACATACACACACACACACGTGCACACGTGTGCCCCATTCCTCCTTCTCATGTGTCACAATCTTCGTTCGTGCGCTTGTCCGTGTTCCCATGGTTTACTGCCACCACTGCAGTGTCGATCCTGCGGACGCCGGGACTGGGCACGGGTCTTGCCATCCTCACGGTCCTCATCTGCAACCTCACCCTCACCCCATCCATCCTCCTCACATTCAACAACTTCTTCAAGCGCAGCGCCCGCTCAAAGTCGGTTGCCCATTGTGATTGTGTATTTGTGTGTGTCATGTGTGCATGTGCTGTATGTGTGCGCGTGTGAAATATGTGTTGTGCATGCGTGTCATGTGTGCAAGTGTGTCACGTTGCTCCCCAGCCCTTCAGCTCATGCCCGGCCCGGCCTGTCCTGTGACCACCTCTCGACCACCCACCCCCCCCCACTCCTGTGTGCGCCATTGAATGCGGCAACAGGTGCTGCTCATCGGGTGAAGACGACGTCATCACAGACAGCGAGGAGTCGGCATTGCTCGTGGTGCGATCACGTGCACACCCCCACCTGATGCCCAGCCCTTTGCAGCTTGCACCAGTTTGCATGTTGCAACTTGTTTATGCTCACATTCACGAGCGCAACGACTCGCCCATCTTCCGTTTCCTCTCGGTCTCTCCTCCCTGCTCATCTTCACACCACCACCACCACCACAATCCATCACCACCATCCACCACAATCCATCACCACCATCATGTGCGCAGAAAGGCAACCCGTCGCTTCAGCACGCCGGACACGAGGACCGCGTCGCCGCCGAGCACCGCGCCGTCCACAAGTCCATCTGGTACAAGTTTGGCAAGTTCCTCATGCGTCCAGCAGTCAGCATCCTCCTGGTGCGTGCATGCTTGTGTGCGTGAGTGAGAGAATTTTTGCTTGTGCGTGTGCACATGTGTGTGTGTGCTTGCGCGTGAATTTATGTGTATGTGTTTGTGTTCGTGTTCGTGTACTCTTGTCCATGAACTCCACCGTTGTGCATGTGTTCGTGCGTGTAATGAGCGTACCCTCGGACTCAACCTCAAGCTCAATCCACTTGTCCACACATGCATGTGCCACCTGCCCCCCCCCGCTTGGCCGCGTGTCAGGTGGTGGTGGTGGTTGGCCTGGCCATCCCCTGCGCCATGCGCGTGCGCAGTTTCGATCGCTCCTCCTCCATCATCAACATCGCGCCGCGCACCGCTTCCGCCACAAAGGCCTTCAAGGACCTCAGCGTCAACTTTGGGCCCGGCACGTGAGTAGTCGTGTGTATGTGTGTATGTGTGTGTTGTGTGCGTGTGCGTGAGGTTGCACTGTGCGCGCTGTTAACAAGGACAAACAACAACATCATCATCATCTTCACAATCACCACCACCACCACCACCACCACCACCATCATCACCACCACCACCATCAGGTTGGCGCCGTACGATATTCTTGTGCGTCCGCGCAATGCCTCGTCTGTGCTCACGCCCGACACCTTCGCCGCCGCAAAGACCGCCATTGAGGACCACCTGGTATGGTGGCGTGAAGCGTGATGGGGTGCTGTCACGGTGTTGTTGCATTGTTCGTCGTGACAACTTGCATTTGGTAGTGCTCTATGTTACCACTGTTCTCACCCGCATCAACGACCACCACCACCATATGATTGCATGTGTGGCTGCACGTCAACAGATGAAGGTTAAGCCTGTGGATAAGGTGCAATATGAGAGCATCATGTACTTTGACGGCAACTTTCTCCCGTTTGCATTCGTCGACATTGCACTCAAGAACTGCTCGAAGCCCGTCAACCGGCCCATCTGCCTCGTGCGTAGAGCCCGTGCCGTGCACTTCTTTCCACATGCGGTCATTTCATCAGCTGCTGCGACACAACAACATATACAACGAACACATGTGCAACACATACAACGAACACATGTGCACACGCATACAACGTACACACACACACACACACACACACACACACACACACACACACACAAGGAACAGCGTCCTTACTATGATGGTGCCACATGCACATGTTTTCTTCTTCTTGTATGCGGGCAGGCGCGAGACACGTTTGTGAACAGCAATGCAACTGCGCTGTACATTGAGGCGACGCTCGACTTTGATCCATACAGCACAGAGGGCGTCAACTGGCTGCAGAACGCTCGCAAGGTGCGTGACCTGATGTTTACTGCTCGTCCAATGCGTGATGTGATGTGCACTTTGTCCTGTGCGTTTCATGTCGTAAAGCGTTGCATGTGCTGTGTGCGTGTGTTTGCGTGTGTGTGTGTGTGTGTACTCGAGGTGTCTGCGTTTCATGCTTGCTGCGCAACTCACTGCGTGCCGTCTTGTTGGTGCCACCAGGCGCTGGCCAATGTGAGCGCTGAGACGGACACTGAATTCATCATTGCCAATGGCGCCACCATCTCCAACGACGTTGAGCGCAAAGGTTAGATCTCATGTCGCAAATTGACTGGATGGTTCATGGTCTGAGTTTTAATTGCCGCATGCCCGCATGCCCGCCTGTGTATGTGTGCATGTGCGTATGTGAGTGTCGTGTTCTGTCTTCAAAGCCTGCGTCAGTTCTGTAACACACACACACACACACACACACACACACACACACACACACACACACACACACACACACCCACACACACCCACACACACACACATTCACACTTGCAGTGTATGATCTGTTCCCGACGGCGGTTGGCGTGACGACTGCGTTTGTGTTTCTGCTGATTGGCATCGCCTTCCGCTCCATCGCCATCCCGCTCCGCGCAATCCTGACCATCGCCATGACGCTGGCGTTTGTCTACGGCTGCTCCATTTGGGTGTACCAATTTGGTGTCCTTGACGGCATTGGTCTTCCCGGCCTCAGCGGACAGCTCGTGCGTTGCTCTTGGCCCTTGCACGTGGTGGTGTTGCGGTTTGTTGTGCATTTGTTGTGGGTTTATTGGTTTTTTATTTGTGCATTTGTTGTGGGTTTGTCGATATGTACTGGTACATATGATGTGTGTGTGTGTGTGTGTGTGCTCTGGTCATCGTTCGCTGTGTGCTGTGGTGGGTTGTCCATCGCCCCAACTTCTCGCCTCACCTCATGACCAAACACTGCCGCCCAATGTCAACATGGGATTGAGCAGAAAGCGCTGTCGTGGATCACGCCTGTGATGGCGTTCAGCATCCTCGTTGGTCTCGGCCTGGACTACGACGTGTTTCTTCTTAGCCGCGTCGTCGAATACCGCAAGGATGGTAAGCTCACACACACACACACACACACACACACACACACACACACACACACACACACACACACACACACACACACACACACACACGACACATTGACACATTGACAGACGCACTTAACATGGTACTTTTACGCACACATACACACACACATACACACGACACACACACACACACACACAACCCCCGGCCTCTCATGCGTGCCTCGATGGACGTGACCATGTGCTCGTATGTTGTTGTGCAGGCTTCTCGGACTATGACAGCGTCCTGCTTGGCCTTGCGCGCACGGGCGGCATCATCACCGCTGCGGGTCTGTCATTGATGATGATGATGATGATGACATGCCGTTGAAACCGTTGTGTCGGTTGCGTGTTGTCCTTTCTCGTCGCCTTGCTGTTGCTGCTGTGATTGCCCTTGTAGCTATTCGTGCCGGTGTGGGGTGCGATTCAGAGGTGCTCACGTGCCCCACTACACTCCAACTCATTGTCTCCCACACGTGTGTGTGTGTGTGTGTGTGTGTGTGTGTGTGTGTGTGTGTGTGTGTGTGTGTGTGTGTGTGTGTGTGTGTGTTTCGTCGAGTGTGCAGGCATCATCATGGCGATTGCGTTTGTGGGTCTGCTGTTCACGGCGGAGGCCGTGTTGAACCAGCTCAGCTTCTACCTCGTCTTTGCTGTGCTCATTGACACATTCATCATTCGCAGGTGCGTGTGCGCGTGTGTGCGTATGTGCGTGTGCGTGCGTGTGTGTGTGCGTGCCCAGGTGTTTCATGTTGCGTGCTTCATCACATGCGCTCTCTTGTCTTTTTCGCCATGCCTCACATATTCGCACTTTCATCACATCCACACGCGTGCATGTCCCCCCATCCGCAGTGCTGTTGTGCCGGCGCTGATGCGGCTGATTGGCCGCTTCAACTGGTGGCCATCGCGCATGCCCACCCCTGTTGCGTAGCTTTGCCCATGATCCATCTCCTGCCTGCCTGTGTTCCTTGTTGTTTTGTGTTGTTTAGTGTGTACATCTTGTATCCCTCCTGCCCTCTATTGCTTGACTCTTCGTGCTCTTGCTCTTGCTTGACTCTTCATGCTTGCTTGACTCTTGCTTGACTCTTCGTGCTTGCTTGCCCTTGCGTGACGCGTGTGTGTGGCGTGTGTGTGTGTGTGTGACGTGTGTCGCACACCGCTGAGCGTGTTGCGCAACTGGCCCGCCGCCAATCCAAATTTCGAAACTGCGCCATAATGTGGCGGTGGTGGCGGCAACAGCAGCGGACACCTCCGCATTTCTTCCTCCTCTTCACAACCAACCAACTCGATCGCGATCTGACGTGTGGCTGACAAGCAAGCAAAGCAGAGCCAAGCGAGAGAAGTGAAGGTACACACACACACCGCCATCACCAACCTCACACGATGTGCACACAACGCAAACACGAGGCACCAACACACCACCACGTCATGCACCTCGTCCTGTCCTGTCAGCGTTTTTTTGTTTTCTTCGTTTGCGCGTTTGTGTCGTTGATGAACAACAGTCTTCATTTCCACAAAAGCACCACCATCATCATCGTCGAACGACCTACCTCTCCACCCGCACGTCCTTGTAATCAACCCACGCCCACGCTTGCTTGCTTGCTGAACAGGACCGAACCAACACAACCACCACCACACCCAAGATGTCGAGCAAACCGCGCTGGCTCCCGCTGGAAAGCAACCCAGATGTCCTGAACAAGGTGTGTGCGAGGGTTGTGTGCGAGCGTTGTGTGCGAGGGTGTCATCATCAAAGGCGTGGACAACGGTTTGTCTGCTCACACCTACGCGCACACCACACTCACAACCACCCTCAACCCCCTTTCCCAAATGTAGTTTGTTCGCAACATGGGCATGTCTGGAGAGTACCAGTTCACGGATGTGTATGGACTGGATGAGGCATTGCTGGCCATGGTCCCTCGCCCCGTGCTGGCGGTGGTGCTTCTCTTCCCAATTGGAGACGCGTACGAGGCCAGCAACGCCGCAGAGGCCGAGGAGATTCGCGAGCGCGGTCAGGTCGTCTCCGAGAACCTCTTCTCCATGAAGCAGGTCCGTAATTGGATCGGTCTGTGGCAGTATGTGTGTGTGTATAGACAGGCCTTTGTGTGTATGGAGAACCTTCTTTGTGTGAGCCCGTGTGATTGTACGCCTGGCAGGTCCACTTACATCTCCCTCCTTTGCTGTGCAGACCATCTCCAACGCGTGCGGAACTGTCGGCGTGTTTCACGCCATCGGCAACAACCTGGACAAAATCACTCTCAGTAAGCACGATTCACCAACCCCGTCGCTTGTTGGCGTGCTTCACTCAATGCATTGATGCTTCTCGGTTGTCTGACACTGGTCGCCTTCCTTGCGCTGCATCGTTGTGTCGTGTCACGTCAGCTCACACACACACACACACACACACACACACAACACACACATACGCACACACACACACATACGCATGCACACACATACGCATGCACGCAGAGGAAGACAGCCCGCTGGACAAGTACTTCAAGGCGTGCGAGGGCAAGTCGCGGGAGGAAATTGGGCACATGCTCGAGCATGCAGAGGGTGTTTCGACAGCCCACGAGGCGAGCGCAAACCAGGGCCAGACACAGGCGCCACCACTTGAGGAACAGCTCGACCTCCACTTCATCGCCCTCGTGCACAAGGACGGCTTCCTCTACGAGCTCGGTGCGCGCACATGTGTGTGTATGTGTGTATGTGTGTATGTGTGTGTGCGTGTGTATGTGCGCGTGCATGTGTGTGTGTGTGTTTTACTCGTTCCGTGAGTTAACCCATTTCCCTTTGTTCTCATCCTCCTCCCTTTCCTTCATGTCTCACGCCACATTCGACCCCCACTTCATCGCTTCTTCTCACCGCCATCACGCTTGTGTGTGTGCGTGTGTGTGTGTGTGTGTGTGTGTGTGTGTGTGTGTGTGTGTGTGTGTGTGTGTGTGTGTGTGTGTGTGTGTGTGTGTGTGTGTGTGTGTGTGTGTGCAGACGGCAACAAGGACTTCCCCATCAACCACGGCGCCACCACGGAGGAGCGGCTGCTCGAGGACTCGGCAACCGTCATTCGCAAGTTCATGTCTCGCAAGCCCGACGACCTCCGCTTCACCGTGATGGCCCTCACAAAGGCCTGAGCACGCTCGCTTGCCGTGTGCTGGGAGATTAAAGCATGCATGACTGTGCACATTCCCACACACGTGGCTGCATGTTCTTGACGTGGGTGAGTGCTACGTCAGTGTGATTTGTTCGCTGTTTCGTGTGCGTGCGGTTGTTCTGTGCGCTCGTTTGCTTTCCTCAACATTATACAACCCCACAGCAGTCTTAGCCGACCACCATAAACACCACCACCACCATCTTCGTCATCATCGTTGTCAAACAGCAGCACCATACAATGCTCTCATGTGGCCACATAGCATGCGTCCATGGAGCGGGAGCAAGTGCAAGTCAGGTGGAGTCAGGTGGAGGTTTGTACAACAACATAACATGCTCAAGGGGAAAAGGAAAGGCAATCAAGCAAACCATGGACAAGGTGTTGACGGGGCACGGTGGCCACTCGATCATCTCAAGTATCAACAAGACGAGGGAAAAAAAAAGCAAACACACGCAAACTTGGGCAGGGAGACAGACACGCAGACACGGGCAGTCACACACAGACACAGACACACACACACAGACACAGACACAGACACAGACACAGACACAGACACAGACACACACAGACACAGACACAGACACACACACGGCTCTAGCTCTTTTGTCTTGCAAGCACAATGGCCGGGTCCTTGTGCAATTCTTTGATGGCGTATGCGATAATGTCGTCTGCATCCTCGCTCATTGCAGCCGCAAACTCCATGCTCGGGAGGTAGCCCTGATGGTGGGGGTGGTGGACAAGAGAGGGGAGCAGAAGACAGCAAGGCATATCAACGAATGAACAAAAACAAAATCAAACAAACACACACGCATTCACGCACACATTCACACGCACACACTCGCGAACACACATTCACACACACATTCACATTCACATTCACACACACACACACACACACATTCTCTCCATCGAATATTCGCACCGAGGTGAGGCTGGTGGCGGTGCGCTGGTCTGTGACGAGGACGAGGATGCCAAAGCCAGGAAGGTTCATGGAGTGAACGCCACGCTCGTGCATGCACAGGATGGGCACCTGTCCTTTTGCAGCCACTGCCTCGATTGCCGCAACCTCAATGCCAAACCGATCCTCATCCCACCTGCAAACATCAACATCACACAGCACATCGGTGAGTGCCACGCAGCCCAAATGGTGGCTGAAAGCACAGTGCTGTTCAGTGTGTGCGTGTGTGCGTTGAAGTGTGCGAGTGTGCGCGTGTGTGCGAGTGCGTGTGTGTGTGTGTGTGTGCGAGTGTGTGAGTGTGTGTGTGTGCGCATGTGTGTGTGCGAGTGCGTGTGTGTGCATGTGTATACATGTGTGTGTGTGTGACGATCGTACTGGTACGAGAGGTACATGGCGCCGTCGTCCGCGAGCATCGTGAACTCATTCTCTCGGACGTTCTTCGTTCCCGGAAGCTCAAGTGCCGTTGTCGTCACGTCCCTGATCCACGAAACCGTTGGAGACAGGACAGAGGATGAGAAGAAGGAGTTGAAGGCAGAGCAGAGCAGGCCACGTTACGCGCCAGACAGCCAGACAGACAGGGGGCGGGCAACGCGTGCAACGTACACAGGGGCGAGTGCCTGGTGCGCTCTGATGTGGTGCTGCCGTGCCTTAACGACGTCGCTCCACTCCGGGCCCGTGACGACAATGAGCGGATACAGGGCGCCGCGGTGGGCCAGCGTGGTG